TATGTGAATCACCAGCCACGAGATTGCCTAAACTTCTCAGCACCTAGATGAAAAATTATTAGTTATAAGAAACAGACAGTAAGAAAGAAATGTTCTTCAAAACATCTTAAGTGCATATCAATCCACCGCCAATGCAGTATAACAACCAAATGAATACTGCTTGAGAGAACACTACACAAGAAGATTTGCACTAGCAAACTCAAACTTTCAACTTCCTTATCATGGCATAGTCTTTGGAGATTTGGATGAAGAATTGTAATAATTTTTATTTTACTTTTTTTTACATGAGCTTGCTTTCATTCTGAACCATCAGCCATTTAGAAACAATAGTGCCATCATAGCAACAGTATCATGTAGTGAAGAAGCATATAAGCATAAACTGGTGACAGAGAGCAAAAGCATAACTCATTTCGTATGTTACCGGAATTAGCAGTTGCAAACTATTTGATATTGCCAATCTTTCCACAAGAAGTAGAAGGACATCACTCTTCACCAGAACACCAGTAGCAAAATTGGAAAGGGCCGAGAGATACACCACCACCCAAGCTACTTCGGTAGCCAGCTCCTCGTCCCTGGATTTGAGAAGAAACTTTTCAGTGCATCTAAAGTCATGTACATTTCAACAGAACTCAATATGTTTAATTTGACGTCAGCATTTACGATTTTCGTAAGTGTCGAAGAATTGCATCAAGTACTCCATCAACTTTGATGAGCTCTGTTGCAGCTTTAGGATCAGGTCCCTAAGTCCAAGCAAAAGTATGATGTAAAAGAAAGTTTAAATGCACACATGCATAAACACAGGAAACTACAATCCCTACCACATTAGTGATAAACACAAAACTGATTTACTGGAAAAAGTTCAAAACCTTGATAAGGTTTGACAATGCCCAAGCTGCTGTTCTCACAGTTGAACCCTTGTTTGGCAACATCATTCTCGCAAGAGGCGTCAAAGCCCCTTGAGATAGCAAAACATTTCTCAACTCCTCCCCTTCACCGGCAACATTTCCCAATGCCCACGCACACTGCTCAGCAACAGGCAAGGAACTCTTTTCTGCAAAATGAGGAAATTTTGGACAAACTTTCAGCAGCTTAAAGCATGATTTCTAGAAACATAAATAGTTCTCTTTCAATGGAGAGAGACAGAACAAACAAAACACACCACATACATCAGAAACTTTTTGTAAATTATTTAGTTCCAAAAAAAATTGTTATTCAAGGGTTTTGACTATCAGACAGAGAAGACTAGATGTCGCAACCCCAAACCTCCAAGATGAGCAATAAGCAACGGTAATGCAGGCAACAGAGCTTTTGTTTCTTCTGGTTTTCCCGCAGCAATGTTCGTAAGACACCAAGCTGCCTCAAGCAACTGCAAAATTACAAACAAGACAAAAAATAAATTAGAAAGATTATGTGATTTACTTACAAACAATTATCACTTTGTTCAAAAACTCTTAACATTCATAAAACACAAACCCATCCGAGTTAGATGCAAAAAGACCAGAACACATTCGTAGCAAAACTATATAAACAAGCATTGTACAAAAACAGACAACTATTCGCAGCTTTAAAGTGCAAAAAAAAAAAAAAATCAAATTGTTTGAACCTGTTCATCCGGAGAACCAAACGAAAGACACTGCACAAGCAAGGGAATTGCTCCAGCTTTAAGAGCAGCTTCAACAGGAGGGAACTCCGATTTCGACAATAACCGCCTTAGCTCACGAAGCGCATTGACCCTCTTCTGCATTGCACCTTTTCCCCTAATAATTGATTAATCCAATCATAATTTTGCAAATTAATATAACCCTTAATTTAGAAATGTAATATTAGGATTAAATCACTGATAAACATACTGATAAGCAACGGCGGATTTTAAGTCTTCGACGGCTGAAGAAGTTTGGGTTTCTAAAAGAAACTCTTCTTCGTCTGTTATCATATCATTTTCTTCGACGGGAACATCTCCGTCACCGCTGGGTCCCACTCTACATAACCGTTTCGCTCGAACTAACGATTCTCTCCTCTCTTTCCCCACCGTTACCGCATTTTGCCGCCTCCGTTGAGCCGCCACATTCCCAACTAAAAAAAAGAACAGCTAGATTGAAACGTAGACGTATCATGTTAGGGAAAACCTAGAATGGACGAGAGATGACGAACCTGATGATTTGATGGGGTCCCTTCGATGAGAAGCCGGGGAGTCATCGGCCATTTTGTTTTGATGAAGGATTTGAAAGTATGGATTTGAAAAGAGCTCTTAAATTACAGAGGGGAATCGAGTTTTTTCCTTTTTCATTTTTGGGTTTTAGGCCAAGCGCGAAAATTCGCCGCCTTTGATTGATCGAATGCTGTATAATTCGCCGAATTGAAAAAATTAGCCCTCGAATTATTTATTTTATTTTATTTGCATTTAACCCTCAAGTTTTTTATAATATCCTTTTTAACATAGACTTTTTGCATTTAAGCAATATCCTCCTTATTATGTTGATATATTTATTTTAACATATTGTAGTTGAATAGGGCCGATGGATATCATATTTATCTTTGAAGATAAAATACATTTTCAAACAAATAAAAAAATGAAAAATATATTTTATTTTATCATTACTTTTGTTTAATATTGTTAATCCTTCTTGGATTGATGAAGTTAGGCTTTTATTCTTCAATAGTTAAAATTATTTAACAATGCAAAAAATAAAAAAATCGACCAACTCAAATGTAAATAGGGAATCTTATGCCTATATATGCTTACAAAATTCTTAAATTCAGATTAAGATTTTCAATTTTTTTTAAGTCACATCCTTGAAGTTCATTTTATATAAAATCATTCTTAAAAAATATATATTATAATGCAATCTTATTATATTGAACCGTCCTTTTATTATTTAACCCTTTAATAATTTAATGTCATTTTGAATTTTGGATGTGATGATTTTTTTTTTAATCATTTCATTAAAATATAAATAAATAATTTAACAATAATTCGTAACATTCATTTAAATTTTTTATTTTAGCTATCGAATCAAAATTTATAAGAATCTTTGACAAAGAGATAATTAATTATCATCGTTTTGTTTAAAATTAATTATATTATACCTTCACTTTTATCGTAACATTTTTTTTTTTATAATTACTAATAAAAAATTAAAAAAATGAAACCTTTCAATAGTATTTATTGAGATGAATATGATAACCTGTATAATATTTTATTTATTTATTAATTTAAATAAAAAAGGTACAATTAATATATGAACATGATCTCATATTAAGTACATTTGATTAAAAAAGAAAGTATTTTGGTGGTTGTATTAAGGATTTGAAATGAATTTCATTATGATAGAATAAATTTATAATAGAACTGTTCGTGGGTTTAATGACCACCAAATCTGTGGGATTGGTTTGAGAATGTTATTTTATTAATAAATAATATATTCATTTAATTTTAATAACAAATATATTTAATATATAATCTAAAATATTTAAATAAACAAATAATCAAACCAAACTCGAACTTGAGTTTCAGAGGTATTAATTTAATCAAACTTAATTTCATCAATACCTTTAAGTTAAATTTAATAATTTAAAATATAATGATACAATATAAAAATAATATGAATAAAAAAAAATAATATGTTTAAAAATTTAGTAAAATTATAAATAAGTTTAATAAAATTATAAATAAATTTAATAAAATCAAATTTTATATTTTTATATTTTCGTATTGACATTAATTATGATACATAATTTTTATATAAAATATAATATAAATATAATATTTTATACGATACGATAACATAAATTATTAACTTAATTCTAAGCTTATCTTTTGTATCATTCGAAAAAAAAGTATATTAAGTGCTCATTTAGATTTAACTACATTTTTTATATAATATGATTGAATTTATTATATTATTAATTGAATTTAAATATTAATTTCAGTTAAATTCATTTAATATAAATTTTTATTAAATATTTTTTATCATAATTATTATAATTTTTTAATTATTATTTTTAATTTTACTGTAATCAAACTCATTATATATTTAAAAGGAGTCTAAGTAATTTAAAAAGCTGGCCTAACAAATTACTCATAGCATTTAAGTGAAAGGTATGAGAGAAGTTAGGTAATCGTGTTTTAATTAATTAAATGCAGTTTTGGCATGTAAAAACTAGCCTAACCAATAATTTTTTCCATGTCCTAATTAGAGGTGTTCGGTGCTGGTCAACCTTTTAATAGCTTTTATAAGACGTCTTTGGATTGAAAGAGTTGGGATTTTTTTTTAATTTATTCAAATATTAATATTTTAAATATTTAAAAAATAAAATATTTTTTAATAATTTAATATCAAATTCAATAATCCCTATAAAACCTTTTTCCATGACCATAAACAGTCTAATCCCAATCTATTAAGCCTCTAATTAATAGAGTTCATGTGATTAGTAGCTTATAGTTAAATAAAAGTAGCAGCTCTAATAATCTTTCTAATTACCTAATTAATTAATGCAAGTTAAGCCTAATCCAAGTCAATTCGAATTATTTATTTCTTCCGTTAAATTACTTTGAAAAATCACATATTTTACACCAAGAGAAATTAAAAATGAAAGCCTTACTAAAATATTAACTAGGGATTGTGAATTTCAATTGGTATTTTTGATAGTCTCAAAGCTTTAGCAAGAAATATATTTGAGAACATGAATTAAAATAAAAAAAAAAGGAAAATTCAAACTGTAGTACTTATACTTCACTCTTTCAAACGCGTTGGTTGCTTTATTACCCCAACTCTGTGGTTGTTCGTTCGTCGGAATGAATTTGAATAAATAGATGGATTATTGATAAAATTTTTTAAAATAATAAAAAATATTATAATTGTGATAAAAAAATTTATTGTAACTATAATGAAAAAATATTTTAATAAAAATTTTATGTTAAATGAATTTTAATAAAATTAATATTTGAAATTATCTATGATACAAATATATTTAATCATAATATACCCAACGCGCCATGGAATCCAAATGGAGACTTATTTCCTCAGCCTTACCTTTTGATTACCTGCAGTTTTCCGAGAAACAAAACACCGGAACGACGGTTTAAAATCTAACTCTCTCATGCTAGATCCGACCTGAAACTAACCTTGATCTTAACTTCACCAGATACCCAGATCGAATCTTCAATCAGATTTTCCCCATGACAACTCACCATCCATTAAAGGCCGTGACTTTAACTCATGTAAGGTATCAAAGAGGTGACCGACTAGGCCATTTCTTAGCCTGGGTTTCTTTAGTCCCTGTTTTCATTTCCCTCGGTGGATTTGTTTCTCATTTTATTTTCCGTAGAGAGCTTCAAGGAATGTTCTTTGCATTAGGCCTATTAATATCTCAGTTCATTAGCGAACTCATCAAGACATCTGTTCAACAAGCCAGGCCTGAAACCTGTGCTCTTTTAGAAATGTGTGATTCTCATGGTTGGCCTTCAAGTCACTCTCAATATATGTTCTTTTTTGCTGTTTATTTCACCCTTTTGACTTGTAAAGGGATTGGTGGGATCTGGAATGTTAGAACCAAGTGGGCTGCTTTGTTTCTGTACTGGTCGTTGGCTGTTTTGACTATGTATTCCAGGGTTTATTTGGGTTACCATACTGTGGCTCAGGTTTTTGCTGGAGCTGCTTTGGGGATTTTTCTTGGTGGGGTTTGGTTTTGGCTGGTGAATTCTAAGCTTTTCTGTTATTTCCCTGTGATTGAAGAGAGTGCCTTTGGGAGGTTCTTTTATGTTAAGGATACTTCTCATATATCAGATGTGTTGAAGTTTGAGTATGATAATGCAAGGGCTGCTAGGAAAGGTATGGCTGCCAGAAAAGCCATGGCAACCAAGAGCAGTTGACTAATAGGAACTCATAGGGTATGGAATAATTTTGTTATTCTTTTCAGATATATGTTCAATCTTTTGTTGCACAAGGAGAATTGAAATCTTAGTTGTTAATTTGAGCTACTTCTCTTTTGTGCATCTTCCATAATGTTTTCCATAATAATGTAAATTAGGCTGCTTTAGCTCATTTTAACGAGGTAGGGATACAATTTCACAAATAATCTTTCATTTTTTTATGTTAACGAGCTATTATCTGACATTTTGAAATGTGATCTTGAATCATGTAACTAATTCTTTTTACTTCTATGATTTCTCCTGTGTTATGTTGAATCCATATAAAAGCTCATTTGTCTAGATTTGGAAATTTTCCTTGAATCTTTTAGGCATTCAATTATAACATTGATCAAGCACTTTGCTATTTTTTTGTTGATCCTGCATTAAAGGCTGTGGTTGAAGTAGTGGACTTATTCATAGTAAATACTAATCTTAGACGAGACAACATTTTAATAAAAAAATTCTATTAGTACTTACAGTGATTCACTCCTTTCTGTCATATAGAATTAAATCTCTTCTTCACAAGAATATAAAATGCAGTAAAAACCCCTTTTGTGGTTCTTGGGCACTTCTTGCAGTAAAAACTAAACCATGCCATCATAGATCATCAAATGTAGTTAGCGATCTTGCTCTATCCTTTAAGTTCATTTCTCATTAGATTCTAAGCGATCCCTTACTTTTAATAAAATGTCAATTCAACAACTGTTTGTTGAAATTTGAACGTGAGTACCAACCACCAAGTTCCTGCCTTTGTTAAAAGTTGCTTTGTTAGCTTACAATTATTAGTGAATAATTGTTTTCTATGGTATGCTTACACGAGGAGTGTGATCTTTAGAAGGATGGAGCAATAAGAAGAATGTGGAATGATTATACTTATTGTGACAGATCATGATTAGTGGGATTACAAAACAGAGCAGGTCCAGTTAATAGTTTCAGTTAGTGCAATAACTCAATTAGTACCCCATAGGAAAGGAGGATTTTTTCAAAGGTTGAATTACTCTTTAAAACATGGTAGCAGGAAAATGGACTTAGGTTCATAGAAGAAATTTCAGGTTAGAATCTGATAGAGAAACATGACATTGGGTATGGTAGCTAAATGGCTTTTATAGTTGGCTTGGTTCTGGTGGTTTGGACACCATCACTATGCGGACATGGAGGTTCAATTGTTATCTTTGAGCATGATTCACAAATATACTAAATTCTTCTTCAAATTTCTTCTGTTCATTAGAAATATTAGAATTATTTGCTCTGTGCTTAAGATAAAGTGCTTCTCTGGAAAATGTATTTCAACTATCACATTTTAAAATTTTCCATCGCATTCAGTTTTGATGTTGAAGGTGCACGATTTTGACCAGTTCTATTCAGTGCTTCCATAACTCCCTCTCCCATTCTTTTTAGGTGCTTTTTAATTCTAACACAGAATAACGAATTGATATATCTTGGTCAATAAAAATGCTCTACTTTCATTTTGCAGGTCAGCATCTGCACCTCATTGTTTCAAGATTCTGCTTCTATGCCCACGGATGATTCAATTATTAAGTGAATGCTGATCATGTCCTACCACTGCATGAGAAGCTAGATGGGAGCATTGGTGTCAAGGATGCTGTGTGTTAGTTAAGAGCATTCTGCTGTTTCTTATTGAGCATTGATTCTCGAAATATGGAATTTATTTCTATCTTCATTGGTAATTCCAGAGTTTTCTTATTGAGCTTGGCGTGCTGACATCTGAAAACCATGGTTGGCTGTTTGTTCAATTAAACTACTGTGAAGTGAGGTAGTTATGTTATGTACTTCTATTGGACTTTCACATAAGTCGGTGCTTCTTGCTTGCGATGCATGCGTAAGTTGTGTCTAGGGTTGGCAGCCCAACTCGAGTCCGATGGTTTTGATCTGACCCGATTACGTAGGATCAATTTTTTTTTTTAATTCGAGTTTCAGGTCAGATCGAGTATTATTAAAAAAAAAATTGATTCGAATTTTAGGTAAATTTGATTCGAATTTTAGGTAAATTCGATCTGATCCGATATTATATTAAAAATTATTTTTAAATTTTTATTTATATATAATTATATATATTTTAAAAATAATATTTTATATATTTAAAAAATAATATTTTATTAATTTCGATCAAGTCAGGATATGATTTATACAATATCGGATCGGGTTTAGGTTCGGATATAAAAAAAAAAAAAATAGGTCGGGTCGGGTTCGATGTTTTATTATTATTATTAAATCGGATCGAATTTAGGACAAATAAAATCTCGTTTCGATCTTATCCGTTGTCAATTTTAATTGTGTTATTTTCTTGTATGTGATCTGTAATACTCTATTATGAATATCATATTTTAAGTTGTGAGAGAAGATTTAATATGATATGAATAAACACGATTAATATAATTAATACATTCAACACGAAAATTACTATCTCTTGTATTTTTATTTTTAAGTTCCATAGTTTACACGTCCCACCGAATGCATTTAAACAGTCGTAGAAAAATGAAGGCATAGAGAGATGAAGAAATTGAAATCTTGAAAGTGACCTGCAAAAGCAAAACAGAAGTTAATAATAATAATAATCATATGCCAAAACCGTTTTGAAAATTAGCACAAGAAATTTGGATTTCTTCATAGGACTATTATCAATTTTGAAATTCAAATAGTGGATTTGGATAATGACTTGGAGGAAGAGGAGAATGGTTTATAACCATTTGTATCTTTATTAAAAGTTAGTTTAGCATTATTTTACCGTCAGAAAAAGTTTGAGATGAAAAAAATTATATTTAAAATTTGGGGTAAAAAATTTTATTTAAAAATTTAAGTGTTTGATTTTGTTGTGGAAAATATTGTAAATAATTAATATATTTAAAAAGATATTCTGAAAAAAATAAAATATTAAACATATATGGATAATGTAATAATTTTTTATTTCAAAAACACTTTTTAGGCAAAAAAGAGTTTTTTATTTAGGCTAACAAATCAAAATTTTAAATTAAAAAGTTACATTTTTATTGTGTAATATTGAAAATGTATAAAAAATAACTTTTAAATGTAAAAATTATTTTCAACAATAATGCAAAATTAGGCTTAAATGTAAAATCTTTGATTTATGACTTTCTTTGTTCTCAAATTTTTTCTCAAAAAAAGGGGATAGATAATATTTTATTTTATTTAATTATTTTTTGGGTATTTTTTATTTTTATTTAATTATCTTTTTGGTACATTTTAAAAGACAATTTCAGATTCTTGTAATAAATTCATTAGCTAAAATAAATAATAAAGGAACATTAAAAAACAAAACTTTAAAGAAACTCAAAACCAAAAGGAAAAAGAGAGAAAAAGAATCAAAGAAACCTTTGAAAAATAAAATTTTACAGCTTCCAATTAAGCTTTCTGGTTAAAATTTCAAGCTTTCGAATTAGATGAAAATTTTAGAATAAAAAAGAAAAAAGAAGGGAAGAACTGAAGGGTGATCCAAAATTGGAAAATGGTGCAAACCGGGAAACATGCGTCCGAAAATAAGGAAAGTAAGCAAATTGCCACTGCCACCTACCTCTTTCTTCACTCTGTTTCTCTACCATCTTCAATGCCATTAATCTCTCTCTCTCTCTCATTACCTAACAAAAGTTATGCCTTTTTTCTCTCTTTGATCTCAAATGTGGCAACTTCTCTTAGGCGCAGCTGTAGCAGGATCCACCGGTCTCCTTGCTAAACACCTCTTTAACCTCAACCCCAACAACCCCATTTCTCAAGATACCACAAACTCCAATCTTGATCAAGAAAAACAAGATCTTCATCTCCAAAATGGGTTTTTGGAACCTCGGTCTGAGAGTAATTGGGAGGAAAAACAGAAGCAAGATGGGATCTTTAGATTTTCCAGTCCTGAGTCTAATGGAAAAACTGGGGTTAAAGCCAAGGATAGGAACTTGAGGACAAAAGTTGTTTCGAAGAAGGCTGAGAAGAGATCAAGTGGTGGTGGTGTAGAGGTGAATAGAAGGAAGTTTGCTGTCTGCTTGAAGAAGAGGAGAACTGCTAAGAATGTGGCTTATAAATGTGGATCATGCCCTTCTAAAGGTATTCCTGTTTGTATTATGATTTTCTTTTCAATTATGGTTTGCTGAGAAAATGCTGGAGTTGTGTTTGATCTTTGTTCTTTTTTTCATCAATTAGGCCTCAAAAAGTTGGAATTTTGACATAACTTGACGTTATTAGTTGAATTCAATATTTACCGAACTCTATGCCATCTTTTTGTGTATTCTTGAAATTTGCTTCCACTAGTTGTTAGATAGTTGTGGATATGGGTAGGGTATGCTTTGCATTGTTGATGAAATTCTTTTTCTTCTCAAATTATCATTTTGTAACATATATTTGATGAAGTATATATCTTTAACTTCTCAGATTTTGTCAACTAAGGTCCAAGTGATTGATCTTATTTAAGTTCTTGTGATGGCCAGAGATGAAACAGTGAAAGACAATAATATGTGTATATATTGCCAAGCCAAAAATTAAAACTTTTGGGTTATATATAACATTCCAATATGGTTCCAGAACCAATCGCATCATTCTCAAGATGCGGAAAAGAGGGGTTCTTGTGGGGTGAGCTTTGCGAATATTTGATTAAAAATTTTCTTATGCTAAAGAGATTCCTGACTCGATAATTGATATAATAGAAAGTGATGAACAATGGTTTTTAAATAAGGATTGTGAACAGTGCTACGTCTCTTTCTCAAGATATACTGAGGGATGTATTTTAAATTAATTCTATTAAAATTATATGACTTGGTCTGGAATCAGGTGAAGACTGTTAAATTTGTTTTGACCATCATTATATTTTTAAGGCACTAATAGAACAGATATTTTTCATTACTTAACAATAGCTTCAAAATGTTGATTGTCTTGGCTGTGACTGTACATCTGCATTGGCTATGTTAGTTTGCATTGCATCGGCGTAGTTATCCTTTTCAGGATTTATGCTTTTAGCCTGTTTAGAGCTCTGAGTTTGACATCTCATCTTACTTTGTGTTTTACTCCTTAGATAGCTCTGTATTTCGTCGGGGACTTGGCTTTGGTCTCATGTACATGATGTCAGCTGGGAAGGCTGAGATCAATAAACTGAACTCAGCCATGGAGGAGACTACAAAAGTGGTTCAGGAGTTAAAAACTGAGCTATGCAAAAGAAAATCATCTTGCAATCTACAAGCTTCAAATTCTGCAAATGAAGTTGCTACTAGCTCAAAGAAATTTAGTGGCAAGAATATGCAGTTGCTGATTGATAAGTACAGAGACCATAATGAGATCAAAGTATGCAGCCTGCCGGTAATTGATGATGGTGAATATGCCTGTAGTATTCTTACTGAAGAGCCAGAACCGGAGCCAGAGCTGGTGGAAATGGATCAACTAGGGGCAGAGCTCGAGTCAGAATTGCAAAAATTGACTGAGGTGAGCTTTTTCAAGTACCTTTACATCCTTTATTTAAATTACTACCAGTTAAACGTGCTTCCTTTTGACCAGTTTGCTTGGTCCCATATCTCCACCTTTGCTAAATTTTTACGACAAGAGTTATCCAAAATTAGTTTTTGAATAAAGGGATAAATTTGTCTCTAGATACAGCATTTCTCTATTTGACACAATTAAATTTATCACACCATAAAAGACTTTTCTGATCACTTTTGAATGAACAGCCATACCTGACCAAATTTAAAAGCATGAAATGTTTTTAGGTTTTACTCTGTGAGTGATCAAGACGTAAAATGCATGTGAAATCCGTTATTTACTTTCCTTGGTGAAGGGAATATCTTTATCGCATCACTACTTGGAGAAATTTGATAACTGTGGCCACTGCACAGACCTTAAAGACATAGAATATGCCAGTTTGTCAGACCGAGTACAGAAGTATAGCATTTGATGCACGAGTAAAATTGCATCAAAAACATGGAAAATATGTAAATGCATCTGCAATAAATGTATTTTTGTTGCTTTGAGTTCTAACAAGTCTGCATCTTCTGGAATTACAAATTTTTTGCTATTGACCTAAGAAATCTTCTGCAGACTGAAGTTTCAGCCAAAAGTTTGCATGAGTCAGTGGGGCAGAGGTTTGATTCATACCAGTGCCAGGGAGTATTGCCCTCTGAACTAGATCAGAAGCTGTGCCATTTGCTAATTGAGCAGCAGGAAAACCAAATTGAGGAGCTAGAATCTGAATTAAATTTGGCTCAATCCAAACTCGGCGAGAAGGAAGCTGAACTCCAAGCACTAAAGGATTGTGTTAGACGCCTGACTAACTTCTCTCTGTCAACAGTCTCAGGTAAGACTTCTTGCTTCTACCATCTTATCTGTGTCTTAAGAAATCAGTTTCATGGCTGCTTTATTGTTGTCTCATAATTGTAGGGCTACCACCGACCATATTACGCTCATTCTCAGTTATTTTAAATACTGTAGTGTGTATCTTAATACCAATGAAATATTTTTCAGATGATGATACCGAGTTCCAAGAGAAGCAAGGATGCATGAACGATCAGGATTGCCATAGTGGATCTGAGACAAGGAAATCATTCGTTGGTATGAAAAGACCTATCGAGTCCTGAGTGCAATTAAGATGCATGATTACCATATTTTCCATGGCCAAGAGCTAAAAGGTAATCCATAGGCAATCATCAGATGCCATCAGAAAACAATACCAATGGGGTAGGTCATAGCATTCTAAACTCTAGCTTTACATATTCCCTGTGTATCTCCTGGACCCTTCAATATTATTATACTCTGTAGTATCAGAAACCAAAGAAATAGTAATCTGTTTATTGCATTCTGTCTGAATATTTTAGTAGGATATGTTTATATTTTTTATACCTGTTGTCTGTCTGGAGCTCAACTCTCTTCACCAAGTGATGTCATTCCTACTGACTTAGCAAGTTTGCCTGCTTCTTGGTCAAGCTCTTTCTTGAGTGCCAGATATAGGAAACCTGAAATCATAGTTGACTTTTTTGTTGTCATGTTGGGAGAGAAAATTACTAATGTGTCCATTCATATTTGATCTGAGTGTACCAAAGGGTAATGTTGGAAGCGAGCAATTGTAGATTAATTTATAGGGCGGTGGTGGTTGCTTGTGCAGAGACAGATACAAGATTGGTGGGGTATGGAAAGATTGCCTTTCCCATCCTAGGCAGATGGAGATGACCCCATTGCTTGTTCTTCGCCTGACAAGTTCAACTTGTGCATTCCTTTTTGACTTAAAATGATAGAACCCTTTCACCATATAGGCGCCATTCAAGGCTAGATAAAAGAACACTTATATGGCCGAGGTTTACAAAATACAAGTTCCCATGATTTTCGAGAGCTTACAAGCGAAGTCAGAGAACTCTGAGTTATCTACAAAAGGAAAATGAATTTTCCCTTTAATCTCACTTTTTGTAGTCATAAAAAGTGAAGAACTTTCATGGTTGAAAGCTTCTGTCATATACGTCGGATAACGTAGCAAATACATGTGTCCTGCAGGTGCTCTCTTTGAGATTTCGACCTAAAAAAAAAAACCTCTTTCAAAAATAAGTACATTGACTGATATTTAACGCATCAGTGTTAGAAATCTGATGTTTTCATTTAAAGATAGTTGACTTTAGGCTGGCAATGTGAGTACTAGGGATCAAAAAAACAGTTGAGCATTGATTTAGCCATTATTAGTTACTGTACAGATTATAGAATCTACAGTTTTTTTTTTTTTACCTTGGCAGCTACTATTTGTACATTTACTAATAGAAGGAAAAGGACAAGATAAAAGTTCCAAAAAAAAAATCATTATGATAAATGAATGGAATTCCAACTCCAAATGGGAATTTTCTGTGTAAATTACTACAAGGAGTGGGTTCCAATTTCCTTTTCATCATTTCTCGTTGAAAAAAACAAATGACATGCTACTGGATTAAGCCAAAGAATCAATTTGCTTAGGAATGATTTTCCGTTTAAAAAGATGCATTCATCACCATGGAATCATGAACGCATGTAGCACCTTCCCCGAGATGTTACCACACTGAACCAAGATCCAACGGTTATCACTACACCAAACTAACTGCACTTTGATGAATCTGTCGTTTCCCCTGCATGATAACGGCTCGATTTGATTTGGATAAGTTTTGATTTAATTTTTTTATATTATATAATATTATAAAAATTTAAAATTTGATTCTAATTTAAATTTAAATTTTATTTTATTTTAATTGAAATGAATTTTATTCATTTTGATTTAATTTATTAATTTTTTTATTTTTAATATAAAATTTTAATATATTTAAATAAAATTTAATACAAAATTTTTATTTTTATTTTATAAAATTTAAATAATATATAAAAACTAAAAAATTTAAAATTTAAATCAATTTTTTTAAAAATTCGATCCAAATTTAATAATACATTTAATATCTAAATTTAATCTAAATTTAAAAAAAATAATCTGAATCGAATCCAATATTATAATTTTAAATTAAATTTTAAACTTTTTTTTTTTCACTTTATTTCCGTCTACTTCATAATTTACAGGTAAAATAATACTAACTGACCTCGCAGGCAAGGCCAGGCCCAACCAAACAGAACCCTACGGCCTCAAAAGGAAATGGAAAAAATTATATTTACAGTGGATTCACCCTCCTGTGCAAATAGATTGAAAAAGATGTAAAAAAGAAAAACAAAGAAAGCAAAAGTAGAGAGAAAAAACTTAAGGAAGGTGGCCACCATATCTTCTTCAGTTTATTATCAGAACCAAAGACAGGCATTCCCAGAGTCATCACACGCAAAGCAAAACCCACATGCTTTTAGAGAAAGACAAGTAACCAAAGTGCATACCTTTTCAATCTCCAAACTCAAAAGCCACACACACACAAAGCTCGTGTTGACGGAGACTCTACACAGAAGAAAAAGAAAGCATAAATCTTTGCAATCTTCAGATAGAAAGAAAGGGGTACTCTTTTTTTTTTTGTGAAAATGAAGCTATCATCAAAACCCATATCGAGTCCGGGTCAGGCTGAGAAGTATCCGCCACCGTTGATGCGGTTTTTGAGAAGCAATGTTGGGAGCAGAAGCAGGGGACGGTTACGTTCAAGCCCAATGTTTGTTAGAAGAAAACACACCGTCATTGAAACCCAGGAGCCTTCTTCGCCTAAAGTGACTTGCATGGGTCAGGTTAGTGTCAAACAAACTGGTTCAAAACCCGGTCGACCCGGAGCCCCGACTTGTTGTCGCAGCCGCTGTAAATGGATCAGAAATGCTCTGCTTTGCCATCATTTCCCTGTGAATGTCAAGGCCAAACCTCTTTTTAGACTCCTTTGGAAGAAATGTGGGGCGTTTTCCCATATGGGGTTGTGTAGAAAACCCAAAGTTAGGGAAGATTCATCGAAATTTGGGAACAAAATTGAAGATTCTGTGAAAGAAAGTGAAGAAGATGAGAAGGAAGCTAAGATTTTTGTATCTTCTTCCCGTTCATCACCACCCAAAAATGCTTTGATTTTAACACGTTGTCGATCAGCTCCGAACAGATTTTCTTCTTTGGCTTGTAGATTTGGGGGGTCACCCTTAGCTAACCAAGAAGAAGAAGAGGAAGAAGAACAAGAAGAAGAAACAGAGCTAGAAAACAGAGGATTTAAAGAAGAGAATCCCATTTCAGAAAAAGAGTCCATTTGTAGAAATTCGGATCAGGGTTCGCAAATGGATTCGGAAACTGAAGAAAAGTCGGATTTTTGCAATGAATTTGAAGAGAAAAAAATAGAAAAATCTGAAAACAATCAAGAGTTGAAAACCGAGCAATTTGGAAATGTACGGCTTCTAATTCTCACAAGATGTAAATCAGAACCGGCTAGAACAGCTGAAAGACTCGATCCTGAGATGAGTTTCTGGAAGAAGAGAAGGTTGGGTTTCACGTGATACATTTAATTTTCTTCTTTCTTTCTTTTCTTAATTAATTTTCTGAATATTTTTGTTTATTACACTGGAAAATGAAATCAATGATAAATTTTGTGTGTATTTTTTTTTTCCCCTGAAACTTCCTCATGGGCTGCCGTCTTTAGTGGAGTTGGCTTTTGTCTGTTTGACAGAAAAAGTGTTCTCTGCTTTCAGTTTCAGCCGCTACCAGGGTTTTTGCATCTTTGGATACTCTGACCAGCTTTTATATTTGGTGGAAAGCAAATGCAGGATTTTGGAACTCAATTGAAACAAAAATTATTGGTTTTAAAATCTTGCAATGATATAGAAAAAACAATATTAAATTGAATGTCTCAATCCCCTATCAATTTTTAGTTATGGATTTTTATATCAATGATCCTTTTAAGATCTGTTCACTTTGATTGGAAAGCTTTAGTCAACGGATTATTTTCATGATTATTTGTGAGGAATCTACATGGCAATTGGCAAGTTGGTAACCACACTAATTGAAGCAAAATGGGGTCATTCATTCTTTTCAGATTGGATAAGAAACTTGGGGATGGAAATTTTCCAATTCTAAATTGGGTTGAGATGGCATTGGATTCCGATTTGAAACCTAGGTTTGGGAGTTAGGTATCATTGCACAACAAACTGTCTAAACAAAAAGAAAAGGAAAATGGAGAGGCAAACCCTGAATTCTAGATACATCTTTTGCCATTTATTCTATTCTTCTTCAATGGCTGAGCTAAGAATCAATCATTTGAATGCATGATTGAGCTAAGGCTTCATTTAAGATTTCATTGTTATTTGTTAAGTGTTTCAGCTTAGCTTTATAGGCTATAGCTCGACCTTCCCTTGCTAAAAGTACTGGTAATAGACATACAAGGAAAAACTTAAGACCTGAAAATTTCAATGGAAACCTTACAAAAACATCAGTGTCCTTAGCTGGTGAATATGATGATTTCAGGCAAAAAGATTAAAAAGTTTTCCAATAAAAACTCAATGATATTTAAGTTTTTGAAATTTCATTGTAATCTTAATTTTTTTTATTTTGGATAAATTGAGGTTTTAAATATTTATTTTCACTCTAATTGAAGTTTTTATTAAATAAAAATTAATATTGATGATTAATTAATTTTTATTAATATAAATTCAATTGATGAAAATAAATATTTAAAATTTAATTAATTATAATAAAATAATAAAAATTTAAATAATTATTAAATTTTTGTTTGAGCGTGCTTTTGACCCTTTTAACTTTCAAGATTGTGCCAAATATTAGTCCCTCAGGGAAAATTCTTGCTCCAAATTCCTGACTCAAGGCAGATTTTGGTGTCTGATGCATCAGATTTTGAACACCAAAATTATGATCCAACATTGCTGTATCTTGCCCTAAGATTTTGTTTGGTACCTCAGGTCAACCACTAGACTGAAAGAAAGCCCAAACTAGACTCCAACAGTTGTTTGTTTACTTGTTCATGTATGTCGAGCAGAAGCCTAGTGTTCGGGTACATTTTAATGCTCAAATAAACACCAAAAGACATTGGGTAAAGCAACAGTATTCACAGCCTTTGGCTCACAGAAAGATAGCTTTTCTGAGTTGGCAGCTTGAAGTCCGAGGTTATAAATGATACAGAGATCAAACCAAAGGCCAAAAAGATTAGTCTATACGAATCAATCAATTCAATGGACTGCCAAGGCTCCGGATCACTTTCTTTTTGTTCAAGATACTATGAGATTGACCATAGTTCCATTATAAGGTCATTAACCATCTTCTGAATTATTCAACTTCCTAACAACCTCAAACCCCAAAACTTATGATTCACTGTTTCCTGTTTTCAAGTTTCAACACTGATCTGGAACTGAACAATTAGATTAGAGAAGGAAGAACAAAGACAATAACATAACTTTGTAAGAAGATACACAATGTCAGACGTAGTTTTTCCAAGACAGGTCGAGATGAAGGATTTAAGTTGCTGTCTCTAAGGACTGGCGTTGGAAATTGGGATCCAACAACTTTAAAGCATGCAGGTAATTACATCCTAGTATCATATATTTGCCTTGGAAATTATGCCCACTCCCCTGTCCACTCCCATCCAGCCATGGCATAGCTATTTGACATTGGACTGAAACCAGATTACCAGACACTCATTCAAGAAAATCATATGGGCATGTAATCTTGAAGAGACGACGGACAGGGACCATTAACAAGCATCAACCATCTTTTCATTTTCAAAATCAGTTGGATGAAATGGGTTTATTCTTAATAAATTGCTGATTTTTTTTTTGTGCAGTATAATCTTGCATTATTTGAAGAACATGAGAGTTGAGTACTTCGTTTTTTGTGCTTGTTTTGTTTTACTAAAATGCAAATAGTAGTAATAGGACCTAACAAAAACCCCACCAATCTTTTCTGTTGTCGGATTAAAAACCGTCGTAATAAAATGAAGAATATACATATGGCTTGACAACTTAACTAATTTGGAGTTTTGCTGGCAATAATATTAATTACCGTTACTAAAACAATATGAATCGAATTTAGAGTACATAAACAAGGAAACAAAACACATAAGAGTAGGTGTGAAGAATGTGAAATCCAGCCAACTAGAGCCCAATGGCATGGCATGTCCCTCGTTAGGACATTTCAATAATATACACATGGAGCTGTCCCATGGCTCTATAAATAAAATAAAATAAAACAAAAAAATATAACTAAAGAAATTAAGAATAAATATCTGAAATTTAATTAAATTAATTTATATAATTATTTTTAAAAATGACGATCTAATTCTTAAAATAAATTAAAATGTTTTAGACGTGGGGTCTCTAATTATGCTTCATAAATGTTCCAACCCTACACATCTACATCGATCCTTCACAACTTATTGCTGTGTTGATGGTGACGGTTTCAATTCCCCAAAGCAAAAAAAAATGGAATTCCTCAACTGCTTTTGGTCCTTGCTTGTTCCGTGAACACCCCATGATTTGAGTTGTGAGTTGTGACTCATCTTTCCTCTATAAAATGACCCTTAGACACCTTCTCAAACAGAACTTACTATCATTCATCACCTAGGAAAAGCAACCATTTTCCATGGAGCTAATTGCCATCAAGTCTAGACCCATCTTCATTATTTTGCTGCTTCTTCTCCTACTGTCCATATCTCAATTTTCAACAGGTTTGTAGAATCATTTGTTCTTTTTTCTTTTGGGGAACTTTCGATTCATTTAGTGTTCGTTTTTGTGTTAAGGGAGCTCGGATGTTTCGGATAAGGAGGTTTATGAGATTGATTATAGAGGTCCGGAGACACACACTTCAATCCCTCCGCCCGATCATTCTCATGGTCACAGTCATCTAGTTCACCGGGAAACCGATATTTTGCCACCCCACAAATCTTCCAAGGGCTTAAGGGGTGGTGGTAATAAAGGAAGAATTGTAAGTTTCCATTCTTTGATTAAAGAACACATCAAAGAAATTAACTTTGCTTAACCAATTTGAGATTCTTAAAAGACAAGCAAATTTTTTTTATTTGCTTTTGTTTTGCAGGCCAAGAAAATTCATGGGTGATGAACAAGGGTTTTGGAACCCTCCTTGAATGTTAAATTTTATACTAGTTTGTAGCTCTATCAGTTACTTAGTGACTTCTGTTCTAGATATGAATACTATATGTGAAAATTGAGAAATTGTTGATTATGAATGGTAGTGTTCTGTCTTTATTCAGCTTTAAAAATTTTACATCAACCTTACTATTTATTATTCTATCTCTTTTAAGCTCTGAATTCTTCCAAGTTTTTCCTTTGTCACAAATCAAAGTACATCACCATATCCTCATCTGACTTGTAAGATTTGATTACTTGAGGGAATGGGAAAGAAATAAGATCTCCTGATTTTAGCTAAAACGTAAACCTTTCCCAAAAAAAAAAAAATTTCTTGTTTTCAATCAAATGATTTTTTTATATTTGAAATTGTTAAAATTTAAATTTTGATGATCGATTAAATGAATGTTTTTGACTTATGTCCAATAATGATTATGCTTAATTATAAGATATTGAATATCAAATTTATCATTTAAAATTTATAAATAAATAAAAAAGAAAGAACAAAATTGTTGGGTCTGCTCATTATTTTATTTTATGAATTATTGTAGTATATTATCTATTTTTCCTTACATTTAATGGATAATTCATCAATGATTTTGCACAATGTGAGTGCCATAACTATAAAGCATGCTCGGCTTTGCTAGTTTTATTATAAATGAAAGTAACATATATCTAAATTTTTAGGTAACAGAAACCAAATTAAGGACTTGGGCCAGCTCATCCCCTGAAAGTTTTTTTTTTTTCTTTTTCTAGTGAGTACCTCATTAAGTAATTTTTAAAATTAGTTAAATTAATGTTTATAATAATATTTTTATATTAAATATAATAATTAATAGTTAAAATGAGAATTTCAATAGTTACTCCATAAATAAAATCCGTATATTAAACACTTATTTTTATAACTCAAAAAAAAAAAAAAAAGAAAACAGCAATTTTTTAGTATATAAGGAAAGAAAAATAGTTTTGACAATTAGTGACAAATATATCTACAGTCGTCGACAATAAGTTACGCATGTAAGAAGGGTAGGGGAGGAAGGGAGACTACTGGGCCCTTGATTGGGCCCTATTTGGGCTCTGAACATGATAAAGACAAACAAATTACGGACAGATCGAAACTCCGTATTAAGACAGCAAAGGAAAAATAATAAATAAAGATTAAAAATGTCACGCGCTTTGTTTCTTACGATGGAATCAAAGGACCAAGACCGAAATATCAAAACGTTTTTTGACCTCTTATTATTTTGTCTTCGGTTCCAATTTTTAGATCCAAATCTAATTTTAGAATTTTCTAAAGCTTTTTAAATTTTAGATCTCTCTGCACTGAAATCGAATCGAAAAAAAAAATCCCCAAAAAATGGCAAATAACAATGGTAGCAACGGCAATGATCGCGAGGAATCGAGTCCTCTTTTGAGCAAACAAGTTGTTGAAGAAGATGAGAAGAAGAAATTGAATGGTCAAAAGTCAAAGGAGGCAACAACCAAGGTGGAAGCTTCGCCGGAAGTTAGTACCGGGGCTGGGTTTGGGTGGACCGCCGATGGGCTGCCGTTGGTCCACGGGAGTGTTGTCGGAGAACCCATGGGCCGTTCCCAGTGGGACTCCTCCCTCCTTGCTTGTCTTGGTCGTAACGATGAGTTTTGCAGCAGCGACATTGAAGTTTGTAAGTCTTTATATGATTTATTTGAGGTTTTCTAATTGGATCTGATGCTGTAGAAATTTTTTACATTGGGATTTTTAATTTTTATGGAATGTGGAGATTTTTCCTGCAATTAGAAGCTAAATTATAATAGATGTGAACCCTATTCTTTTGGGACTGTTCCATATATAAACTATGCAAATGATTGACATACTTTATAAACTTAAAGCTGTAATTCTGGTTTTTTTTTTTTTTTGGTGAAAATTTTGATCTTGATTGTAGAAAACTTGGAATTTAGAAGGGGATAAAAAAGGAAAAGAAAGGAGAATCTAAAGGCCAATGATGTTTTTGTATGTTTTGCAATGATTAAAAAGATGGGTTGTAATTGTAACCTTGTTTATTGTTTTTAATTGCATGATCGATTAAGTTTTGGGTAGTGCTATCTATTACTTTTGATATGTACAAAGTTCCAATTTATGCGATTATTTGTTTCTCAAAAAAGTAAAATAGAATGTTTTACCAGACATTTTTTGTGTATTCTGATTTGTCAGTTATGAATTTTTTTGTATGCTTATTTTGCTCAGGATTTCTAATTATGATATTTTGGCCAGGTCTACTTGGAAGCATGGTCCCCTGTGTGCTGTATGGAAGCAATGTTGAAAGACTTGGATCTGCTCCTGGGATCTTTGCAAATCACTGTTTGCCTTACACTGGTCTGTACCTGATTGGAAATTCCTTTTTTGGCTGGAATTTTCTTGCACCATGGTTTTCATACCCTACCCGTACTGCCATTCGGCGGAAGTTTAATCTGGAGGCAAGTAAATCCTTATCTTTCATCTTGCTTAACTTTGCTTCTCAGGTTATAAGATAATTTTAACTGACTCATTAAGCATGGTATGGTTTTGCAGTTGGTTTTAGAGAATTCTAATTTATGGGTTTGGTTTATTTTTCTGTCCGGTATCTATATGACATTTTGTGGATCAATTTTTTTTCCTATAGTAATGACTAAAGTTCAATGTCCCTCTATCTTCCTTGTTTGATTTGGTTTTTGGAAGTTTATACTGGCCCTGTGGTGATGGTGGGGGGGGGGGGGGGGGGAAGTCAAATGTTCCGATGTATCTTCGTTTCTATATGCGTTGTTGTTGTACCATGAGCTATTGAGTTAGTTGATCTCTTCATTGTGTTTTTCTTGTGGAGGGACGACTAGGAATTTTATGCTTAGAATCGAAAGGAACAATATGAACTAATGGAATAGCTTGCCAAGATTTATTTTTGTGGGTTTCTTTGGAAGAACAGGGCACCTGTGAGGCACTTAATAGGTCATGTGGATGCTGTGGAAGCTGTGTTGAAGATGAGGTGCAACGTGAACAGTGTGAGTCAGCCTGTGACTTTGCAACACATGTTTTCTGCCATGCATGTGCACTTTGCCAGGAGGGCCGCGAGCTTCGTCGAAAGTTGCCTCATCCAGGGTTCAACGCTCAGCCTGTCCTGGTCATGATCCCTCCTGGTGAGCAGACAATGGGCCGTGGTGCCTGAGTGCATGATGCCTATGTCCTGCCTTACAGTTAAAGAACTCTAATAGCTCGACTATATTTTTATCAGTGTGATGTCATGTTGTAGAATAATGTTTAAATGTTTTATCTACATTGTCTAAACTACCATCAGAGGATGATTGCTTGGTTTGGCCAGACCAAAACAACATATCATATATGGGGTTTCACCTGTTTTGTGTGTATAATATATTATGTGTTACAATTTCTTTTTTCAAAATAATTTGATGTGATGGGTTTCACCGATTTTGTGTGTTTATGTTACACTTGATTTTTTCAAAACAAGTTGGTGTGATGTTTCACATTTTGCTATACCCTTTTGCGGTCTCCTTTCAGACATCCTTTTTTAAAGATTTTTAATTTAATAGGGATGCTAAAAGAAACAAAATACTATATCCTTTCATCCATGGCTTGCTTTCCTTCATTTGATCCAAGGCCAGTGCGAGTGATAGTTAAAAGAGTATTAAGGGGAAAGTCTAAATGCATGGGTAAAGTACTTGAAGGACGTTCTAATGCTTTCTTTTCAAAATGATGAGATCAGAAACATTCTTTTCAACATAGGATGCAATGAATCCAAAGTTTGGACACCAACACATGCCCTCTAGAAAAGAAAAAACCTATGAAGCACCATCAGCTTCTTTTGGTGAATGCTAAAGATCTCTCTCTCGCATATTGGAACCAAGATCACCTAAGTAGGCATCATCCTGGTTGCTTCCAGTCCTGTAAATAGTTCACATGGGTTGTGGAAGCAACTAAATGATGCAGATTAATAGGAAAAAAAAAAAAGAAATAAGAGTAAATGTAATAGAAATGAGACAAGTAAACTGCGCCTGATGAACCAAGAACAGAATTTTACTTCCTAGTCTACCACCCAAATTCAGGGTCAACTTCTGACTAAGATTTAAAGTTTTTAAGGGATGCAACACTGTGGACATGAAACAGAGAAAATTGTGACCAAACAGTTTTAACATCCTACTCTCCTGGTGCAGAGACTCCTTGCTTCAGCCTCTCTCTCTTCATCTTCTTCTTGGATAATGGCTTCTTTTTCCTAGGAGGAAGAGTCTTCTGCGCATACAAGTAAAGTACATAGTTCCCCGCAAGGAATATCAGAAGCAGCCCCACAACAACCAGCAGCACTATCAACCCAGGATTGAACCCTTTGGCTTCAGTTTCATAAATAATCTTATTTCCCTATTCCATCAGAGGAAACGAAATTATTACCCTGTAAGAACACATCATTTGACGCAGAAGAAAAAAACCAGAAACGCACAAACACAACTAGCTGCTCAAAACATGTTAACTTCACAAAGCCAAAGAGAGCAAACAGCAAAAGCTTATTGTCATGAAAGGATCACTGCTCAACTTAGTTAACTTTAGCCAATCAAGCGAGACAATCAGCATACAAATCTCTCAAAACAAAAGAAATCGAAGTAAACTTGGAAAAGCACTAGATCTGCACGATAACAAGCAATAATAAAAGGAAACAAGAGCATATCTCTAAATTAGAAGGATAAATACGAATTGATTTAGTACGGATCTCGGTGAATAGCCATTGGAATTGAGATTTAAAGAGATTTTTAAAAAATTATTAAAATAAAAAACAAATACCAAGTGATCAAAGGAGGGAGGGACATTATCTGCGAACTCGAACTCGTCTGACATGGCTGCAACTCAACGGTGGAGCTCCTTTACCAGCACGAATTTGAAAGGAAGAACGTTGCACAAATTGGAAAAAGAGTACCAAAAAAAAAAAAAAACCCAGTTTCAGGTGATGAAGCTACTTGTTTTATAGGACTGTTTCTGGTTCCCTTAGTTGTTTTTATGCCTTGATTCAACTTCATGATTCAGAGCTAAAATCTGAAACTCAACTTTGCCAGTCCAACAGATCCAACTGATGGATGGGCTTTAAATCTATGCTTAAAGCCCATTCGAGTAACATACACCAAGTTCTAACTGCCATTACTGTTCTCAGACAACGTCAGAATTAAAGGCATGTTGGGAAAGAGGACCAGCCCAATAAAGAAGGAGAAACGAAACAGTTGGACTGACCAAAGCCCGGAATTTGTCTAATGACATGGATTGCACTAGATGACATCCATCTCCAGTGTATATACGTGGGAGAAAACATTGGAAATGTCAAAAATATTTCATTCTAAATAACTTTGGGCACATCAATTATCAAAAAAATTGTGGGGACACTGAAACAGAGATGATATATCTTAGAAAGTATGATATATCTTAGAAAGTATCATCAGACAGGGACCGGAACCAAGATAACATTAGTCAATATCAAAATATATGTTACATAAAATTAGAAATGCTTAATCCAAGTGGGCTGTTGTGTGTTAACATCGAAATCAATATGTTGGTGAAGTCTTGACTCTGTTTGCTGTAAAGCAGAAACATCCAAAACCACCTCCCTTGTTTTAACCAATTAAAATAAATAAAAATTCTTATTGAAATTGTTGCAGTGAATTATGTTCATAATGCTATTTTGAGAGTATTAGTGCGGTGGGATCTAAGACAGCTTTAAAGTAAAAGTTCAAAAACCGGGTTGTTGTTCAGTTCAAAATTATTTTAGTCATCTTCTGCAACTTCAGGACCAGAAGCCTATAGGGGTTCGATAATGAAGCTGACATGATTCTGTGAGTTAAACCTGTTTGAAGGTTGGACCAATTGTCGGCATCGAGGCACGTTTCAGTATACATAAAATTTAGAGCTGGTCGGGCACTCTGACATTGGTGGTGGCTCTTTATGTCTGAACAGGTTCAATGCACGTCGGCAAAAATCCAGGACCCCGAATGAAAACAACGTAAAATACAACCATCTAGGAAAGGGAAAAAAAAAATTCCCACGTGGCAAATGAGTAACTGACAAAACGGTCCCATATGGTGCACGAAAGTTGCAATAAAATCCTGGATTTAAATGGAAGAAACATTGCATTGTTAAGTACTTAAGTCCAATCTAGGTGATGAAAGGTATACAGGAAACAGCCATTCATTTTTGGTACAAGCTGACATGACTCGCTGGATCAGGGCCACAATGAGAATAAAATGTGGAGGAGAATTTTACCCTGGATTACTGCCACTCGTTGGAATCTTCCTAGGAAGAGGTCTCTCAGCCTCAATCTGTAAACGTCATTAAGTTTTGATCAACAGTAAAACTAATTGTCCTTAGGCATCTTCAAATGGTGATTTTTTTTTTATCAGAGTTTAGCAAATCAACTGTTTTTTTGTCAAATGTAGCCGCAGTTTGATCTTTAAATTTATCAGATACTACTTTAAAGGTCACTGAATCAATTGAAATAAATTTGACACTCAATTTTGACCAAAAAAAAGTTTTGACACTTGTTTTGATTTCATTTGCCTCCCTTTCCTTTGTTTGGTGTGAGTTGAGGGTGTTGTTGAATCTTTGATGTTAACCTCAAGGAGTGTTTGATCTTGATAGAGAAAAGCCAGCTTTAATCCCACTTTCTGAAGCAAAAAAAAAAAAAAAAAATCTTTTTTTTTTAATGCTTTTGAAAAGATACAAAAGAGACTAACGTCTAAATAAAGTCTTAATAAAAGTTAATCAGAACTAAGGTTACATTAACTTTATTTCATACCTTTCTCTCCAACAACCAACCATGCAATTGTTTAATCATTTTCCTTACTACCAAAATTGATAAAAAAAAAAATTTAAGCAATTAAATTTTTTATTATTCTTGGATGTACACAAACATGTCTTAAATTACAAATCTCACATAATCATATATTGACGTGCGTCTTTTTATAAAATTATAATCGTAATTAAATATTACATATATATATATAATAATTAATTAATAAATTAAAATATAATTAAATAGATCTAACATAAATCGAATCAATTCACATACAATAACGCTTGATTCTAAAATTTTAGAATTCTAAAACCTCCTCTTTATCATTAAATTAAAACTTCATTCACAATATTAAATGTGAGATTGATGTTAATTTAAATGTAAAAATATATAAACATAAGAGCATGGAAAAAGGGGAAACTAAACCCTGATAATATTTTTAATGATGATAATTTTGAAACTTTATTGAAGGGGAAAAGAGTCTTAATGATTTTTTTTCTTGATTTCATTGATCCATATCCTGATCCACCTGTACTGAGGAGGGTAAGATTTAAATAAATTTTCAAGTGAAATTCATAAAATTCTTTTATTAAAAGCCATTACATAAAAATTATTCTGAAAATTAAAATTTATACATTAATAGAGTTCAATAAGAATATAAATAATTATTAAAAATATTGTATAATTAAAATTTTATTAATAGTTATTCAATATTAAATTTTTTTAATAATTTTTAGTACAATTATTTATTTAAAAATATATATATATTAAAAATTTTAAAATTTTAAAATTTTGTACAATTAATTTATATAACAAAATCATTGGATCTTAAATTTTGATTTTTCATGTGATCCTTTACACCACGGCAGAAGGTCCCTTCATTAAAAGTCAATGATATATGCGCCCTTTTTCTCACTTTACTTAACCAAGCCTCTAATCAAACTCTTGTGTCCTTGGCAATAGGGATTGCTTGTGAAAGCAGCTACCCAACCTTACACAAAGGAAAATATCCAGTCCATATTGGAGAAAGAAAATGACTCCCACCATTTTCCTTGCGAAATACACATCACCGCATTTTCTCTTCATAATTCAACCTTTTTCTTTTAATTTGTTTATAAATAAAATTATTTAATTATTTTTTTCTTTGCATAAATTTTCAAAAAGTTATAAACCTTTTCGAAAGAGATTTTTTGAAATATTATAAATCTTTTCAAAAATAGATTTTTAAAAAGTGAAATAGTAAAAATTTTAAAAATATTTTAAATAAACTTTTTATTATTTTATCTTTTGAAAATGAATTTTTGAAAAGTCATATAATTTTGTAAATTCATTTTTAGAAAGTTATACAATTTCATAGAATTATAAAAAAGTTAATTAAGTAATTTTATTTTAAAAAATTTAAAAAAACTAAGGTGCGAAGAAACTGTGAGCTTGACTAACACAAAATTTGCAGTTCCCAAAACATTGACTATTTTTAATTTTTTTTCAAGCAATAAATTACATATTTATTGTATCAGTCATACATGCATATACACATACATACATACATACATAAACAAATGAATAATATATATGAGTTAAAAACAAAAAAAAGATCGTGGAATTCCAGCCCTTTGATTTTGTTTTTCTATTGTTACACTAGGTCAGGACCGATGTAGCTATTTTCTGATGAGGAACTGGAGATGGTAATCATGCCGTTGCAGTCAGACACACTGTCCTGCAAGCTCAACAATAGATAAGAAGTGCTGAAACTCATTGAAGGTTTGGCTCTTGGAACAATAGGAACTTCTGCTTCACCCACCAGCATCTGGACCACACCTCTCATCGTGGGTCTAGCCAATGGGTCAGGGTGTGAACAAGCTAACCCAACCAAAAGAACCCTCCTCATCTCAGCCTCTTCAAAATTACCTTCAAGCCTGGCATCAGCTGCCGTTAACAATCTCCCTTCTCTATGCAAACTCCAAACCCATTCCACCAAATTGCCACTCACACCAACTTTTGCTGTCGCGTTAGCCTCTCTCTCGATTGGTCTTCTTCCACTAGCCACCTCTAGAACCACAGCTCCATAGCTGAACACATCGGTTTTCTCAGTTGCTCTTCCTGTTAGAAGATATTCAGGAGCCAAATACCCCATTGTACCTGCAGCCACCGTGGCATCTGGAGATTTATCATGCTCAACTTGCCTTGCTAAACCAAAATCTCCTAGCTTTGCATTGAAACCTTCATCCAGCATTATATTGCTGGTCTTAACATCTCTATGTATAACCTGATGATCACACTCTTGATGCAAATAGGCCAAAGCAGAGGCAACTCCTAACAAAATTTTCTGCCTATGAGGCCATGGCAAGGGCGTTCTGGCTTCAAACAATGCTTTATCAAGACTCCCATTAGGCATTAAATCGTATACTAACAAAATTTCGCCTTTCTCATGGCACCATCCTTGCAACCTTACAAGATTTCGATGCCTAAGAGTCCCAATTATTGACAACTCAGATAAAAACTCATTCTTTCCTTGACTACTATGACTACATCTTTTCACGGCCACAATGTCGCCATTATCAGGCAAAATACCCTTGAAGACAGTCCCAAAGGCGCCGTGACCAATTATTCTATTGGAATTGAAGCATCTCGTAGCCGCTTTCAGCTCTTTATAACTGAACTCCTTTGGCATTTTGATAATCTCTGATGCAAAAGACTCGGATTTCTTTACATGCTTGAACTTTTTAGAATAAACCCATATAAAAGCCCCAGCAAATAAGGCTAAAAAGAAAGCCCCAGCAGTTACCACCCCTGCAACAGCCCCCGGACCTTGTTTGCAAAGCTTGTTATGACACGAAGAAGACTTACCACTCTTTTGTTGAGTGCTAGAAATCGAATCAGAACCTGAAGGAGCCAATGAAGGTGGCGGTGATTTAACAGAATTAGCCGTTGGGCTCATTAAAGTAGACGTTGGAGGCGGCGTAGATGTTGATCCTGACCCTGACCCAGAACCTGAAATTGACTCGAAAGAAGAGCTAAAACTCCACCATTCTATACTATGAACCTCAGTGCTTCCTTGGGTTGAGCCTGAAAATCCTACGTACATGAAATCATTAACATATTGATCAAGATTTAAAGTGAATGATAACATGGGCTCTTCAGGCTTCAAATTTGAGTAGGAAATGGAGATGTTAAAAGCTCCTGATGAAGCATCGTATTCGATCCATGAATTAACGAGATTGCCACTCTTTAGATCAATATCTAAACTTCCCAAGTCACCAATTTGAGAAGAAACCACGCTGTTGAGATCCAAACCAACGTGGTTTCCATTAATGTCTTTGAATTCTACGTCCATAAGAGTGTCGAATTCCACCGCAACGAACCCCAAGGCCTGACCCTTATCATCGAGGAGTCCCAAAGAGCCGCCACCGGCACCTACGAAATCACCATCTGGGGAAATGACAAAGGCTAAACCGCCGCCGACGGAGGAAGGGTTGAGGTTGGTGATGTAGAAGGAGAAGAAGGTGGAGAAGCTACAAGGAGAATGGGTTCCTGGTTGCCGGAATCTCACCGGTTTCGAATATAAAGCTCTGCCGGCGCCTGAGTCGGGTACTTGGAGGTCGCGAGTGAGTCTCACGCTCCCATTGTTTAAATGAGCATCACCAAGCAGTTTCAGGCTGCTGAGAGTTAACGTTCCGAAATCGAACTCTGTCGTGGCAAAGATTCTGCTGAAGTTTAAGACAAAACAGAGGAACAGAGCAAAAAAAAAAGATGTAACCTTGTAAGAAAATGGCAACATCATTGCTTCAGTTTCCGGTTATTGTTGAAACCCCATTAGAAATAAAAAGAAAAGAGAAGAGAAGAAAAATGGAAAATATTTATTTTTTGTTTCGGTGGGGGGATTTGATGAGGAAGAGAGATTGTGAAATTCACGAACTTTGAGAGGAAGATAGAGAAGGAAGATGGGGTAGAGTATATTTCTTTGGCTTAAAACAGGACAAAGTGAAGGAAACACAAACAAACAAGGAATAGTTTGAAGGAGATAGTGAGAGCATCCAAGGGGGAAGTGGGTGAACAAGACAGGTGGATAGGTAAGACGACACGTGGCTATTTGCAACGGTTATTTTCTTTTTCGGCGATTATAAAAGAAGAAAAAAAATTTTTTTTCTTTTTCTGTTGCACACTTCACAGCTTAATCGCATATAATACAAACGTGAATATAAGATAAAAATAGAAATTTTAATAATAATTGTACATAAATTAATAAATTTCAAAATATATATTTTATTTTTATGTTAATATAAATTATAATATATAATTTTTATATAAAATATAATATAAATATATAAATTTTAATATTTTATATAATATGTATGCAAATTATCGAATTAAATCGTTATTTTACAAGGAATTCAGTTGCAGGTGTCTGCAAAAAAGCGTGATTTTCACGCTCTCATAAATAACCTTTTGGCTTAGGTAGGGCGGTAATCAAGCCCGTTTCTATGGATTTCGTTTCGATCCAATCTTATAAGATTAAATTTTTTTTTTTTATTTTGGATTTCAGGTCGGTGTCAGATTGAGTTCGGATATACCTAAAATTTGACCCTATTCGACTCGATATTATTAAAATTTTATTTTTTAATTAATTAAATAATTATTTATATATATTTATATAATGATATTTTTAAATATTTATATTTAAAAAATAATATTTTATATTTTAAAAAATAATATTTTATTAATTTCGGGTCGGATTGGATACGATTTACATATTTTCGGGTCGGATTGGATACGATTTACATATTGTCGGGTCGAGTTCGGATATTAAAAAAATTCGAATTGAGTCGAGTTTGAGTTTAATAAGCATAAAATCGGGTCGGGTTCGGGGCAAGCAAAACCCGTCCCGAACCCGACCCGATGCCATCCATAGGCTTAGGCCTTTGGATATGGAGAGAGGGCGGCTTGTTGATTCAGCGACTGATTATTGTCGCAACATTACTCATTAAGAAATTAGATGTAAATTAGTATAAATAATTGAAAAATATTAAATATGATTTTTAGCACTCAATGAATGAGTTTCTTATTTGTTAGTATTTAATAAATGCTCAACATAAAATTAAACGGATGAATTTTAACATTAATAATTTTTAATTTTATTTATAAATTATAATTTTTTATTAAAAATAATCTTATATTGTGTGATATTATTAATTTTAATTTTTACTTTTAACATAAAATTTTCGTGTTAATTCCAGCATAAAATAAAATTGTACACTAAATTAACATGAAAATTTTAATATACTTGTATGTATACAAAAAATGAAATTTATTTGATTCAAGGGAGCCGTACTAATTCCTCGGCTTCTTTTCTTGGTCCATTCGCATTTATTAAGTGCGGTAAAGTTGTTGTCACATTACACATAAATCAATATTTCTTTTGCAACTATAAAATTTTCATCACTTGGCCCCACCAATGACATTTTTTTTCATTGGTAAAATTATTTTTTTAACTGTATATATCGCATGTGGTGGGCCCTACGTTTGGTGGAGATGGACTAGCTGGAGACATCCAATCGTCGATGATTTTTCCGGCCGTTGAATTGGACGGTCCAGGTGGAGCCATGGAAATGGAGAATTTTTTAAGCTTGCAAATCAAAATCAAAGCCTTTCATTTTAGGGTAAGTTTTTCTCTGTCCTTTTCGTTTTTGGATAAATAAAACTTTTTTCGGCTGGTGACATTTTGTCCCAAAGAACGATTTTTCTTTCTTTTTTTTTGTTTTTTTGTTTTCATTTAATGAAAGTTTAATAAATCGTAAATCTCGAACACCTACTCTGAGGATAATTCTTCGTTGAAATAGTTACTTGGGTACACAAATAATTGCAATCCTTTCGAATCTCCGCTCGATCTTCCGTTAGTGGATTATTCTCTGATACGAACAGCACAGCTCTTGCAAATTGGTCATGGAAATGTCCATCATCAGCAGCCATTTTCTTCACATAAGGGGACTTAGTTGGATCAGAAGTCAGTTGCTGATCTATCGGGAGCAACAAAAATTCAGCCATTGTGTCATCGTTCACATCTTTAAGCATTCTCTTTTGAATTCGGCCATTGAATTTATGGAATATTTGTTTGAATCTGAGGAGAAACAAAAATTGTTGGATTCCCCACGTATAGTTAGTTCCGTAGAGTGTTTTAATTCCTTACTTCTCGCTTATAGAAGGATGGAAATGAATTGATTAATTTATAAAAATCAAATTTAAAAAAAAAGTTAATTGTTTTTGACATCTGAATTATAGTTAAATTCTTGATTTTGTATAAAAAATGTAACCAAATACTTGATTTTTGCAATGTCTATCAATTTACACAGGAGCATAACATTATTAGTCAAATAGATGATATGCAAATTGATTAAAAAAAAAGTAAAGTCTAAATATTTAATTTTAAAAATTTTAAAGTATGTTTTAGATTATGTGCATTACTGTTATTTTCTTCTTATTCTTTTCTCCTTTAATTACATAAAGAAAATCAAAATAATTTATACCCATAATATTTTTTTCAGTCAAATAAGTACAAAAATAAAAATATTAAGAATAGATTAAGAATAATAATAATAATAATAAAAGAATACAATGAGAATGTTCATCTATTTGACTTATTTTTTGTTTTGTTTTTTTAAAGAAAGGCCATGAAGAAATGGATAAGCATGGACCTTACATGTAAAAGTTATAATTTATTTTTTTTAGTTGATCAAATAGGGTTTTATTTTGATAAATTTGTTTGATGGTTTATTAAGAATTTAGCCTCAATCATCCTTCAATTCTTTAAATTTATCCCTTGGCTTTTTGGGCCTATGGCTTTCAAGCTCAATTACAATGTCGGTTCCATTTGCAGGGCTGGCTCGGGCTTTTTCTATATTTAGGTTGCCCAGTTGCTCATTTTCACTGGACTCTTCCCCAATTCATACCTTCTTCAGGCCGATACTTGTAAGCTCAAGCAATGAAACGAATTCTTTTCCTTTGTTAATATTTTGGATTAGGACTTCTTTTTTGGTATCTTTTGAGTTTTTTTTGCTGTAATTTTTATTATTATTTAAAAATTTTAATATCATAAATGATATCTAAATTATAATAAAAGTTTTAATATAGTACTTAAATTTTATAAATTTATTATATAATATTTAAATTATGAATTTATTAATTAACATGTTACTTCAAAAATTATTTGTTCGTTATATGTTATCACTTAAAATAAATCATATTTCACATCAATCATATTTTAATTAATAGATTTATAATTTAAATGTTACAGTAAAAATTTTTAAAATTTTATATACTAATTGAGTATATTTGATAATCACTTAAAAAAAACAAAGATGAGATGCTTGAAGTTTGAAAGAATATTAAAAATATTTAACTGACAAATTGACAAAGGGATTGGATTGGAACCTAATTCATAAATGCAAGTTGTCCTGTCTGAGATTGGTTCGTAGACCAAAACAGCGGAAGAAACATCGCCGTGGGATAATCTTTGCAGTCTCTATAGTAGTCAATTGTTTTCTTGGCTAGCATGGGACGACATGTTTAAAGCTGCCACAGGCAAAGTGTAAAATGATTGGGAACAAGGAAAATGCAGGACAAATACTGTAAAAGAAGTTACCCATTTTCCCGCTGATTTGATATGTTAAAACATGTGACTTCATAAGAAAACCATGATCATAAATGTATGGGCATGGCATGGAGGACATGATATCGACATCTCACAGAAACGACACATGAGTAACGCAACTCTCAGAATCAAATGAAGACAAAACTGGGGATGGAACAGTGAAAATGGAGCTCTTGGCTGTTCTTGGAAGCCATCTTTGGTTCTTCTGTCTCAACCCACAACATGGTAGGACCGTCCTGATCATCTTGCTCTTCAGGAAATTGGATGACTTAATATAAACAAAAGAAAAAAGATCCTAGTTCCAATTTTTCACTTACCTTAAACACAAGTGGTTTAAAAAGAGCATTTGACTCATCTCTTTATTTATAGCATACTATCTTTATTACAATCTCCTTTTTTTTTTTATACAGTTGCAGTAGCAGTTGCAGCTAGCTAGTTGTTGTTTGCTAGATTTGACAGTCTCTTTTTTTTTTTTTTAATGGAAAATTTACAAGATTTTACATTTAGCATTCCTGCTGAACTACAGACACAACAGTTCGAGCCCATAACTTGAGATGTTTCTTCATATCAGCAGCTGCAGTGACCCTCGGTACTCTTATATTCAGCAATGGAGAATCAGGTCTTTTAATCAGCCAAGCCTCTGATAAATATGGCCTTATAACACCTTTCCCTTCCCCTTGTTCAATATCATCATCTTTAGGTAGTTCATCAGCAGCACGATTCAGTTCAGTTTTGAAAAATCCAAGTCTGAGGACGCCAGGGAGAACACTAATCATTCTTGCATTTAAGTGTTCTTTCTTGAATATAAAACCAAGATCCATGAACCCTTTTACTTCTTCTAGTTCCAAATCTTTCAAGCTCCTACAACTCGTGGATTTTTGCAGTTTACCCGCAAGCGAACCTGAAGTTGAGAGTCTGTGATTCCTGATCTGACGTTTTTGAGTTGATGGTGATGAAGAATGCGAACGACTTCTACTAGAGTTAAGAGTCACTCTTGTTGGTCTTTTCTTCACTTCTTCCTCATTTTTAGAATCATCCTAGAATTTACCACCATGAAAACAATAGGAAATGAACAAAAAGAAAAAGAAAGTTGGTGAAAGCCTGAACTTGGAGATATATATTTAAAGATTGCTGAGGAACATAAATTGTTACCAGTGGAGTTAGTGGAGATGGAATTGCAGAGTTTCCTTGGTGAAGGAGAGGACAAACAGCCGTTGAGATATCTTCTGCAAGAGATGATAAAGAGAGGCTTGATGATGGGCTTGTAGTAGTGGTAGTGGTACTATATTCTGAGTAGGGCAGCCGTGGTTTAAGAGTTTTAGGGAAATATAGTGAAAAGGGTTCTGAGAAGAGAATAACTTCGTGAAACCAAAGACTATCCATGGCTCCTATGAGACAAAATGAGAAGTTGTCGGCCATGGCTAGATAGAGTGGGGGAAAGAGAGATAGAGGGGTAGAGAGGTCACTTAAAAGGGAAAATCCGAGTAGTTATCGGCATCACTGCGGGGAGTTTCTGTGGTGGTGAAAGAATAAGCAAAAGTAGAGGAATATAGTAGAAAGTTAAGTGGTGGAACCTTGGGTTGGGATAATGGAGGATGTGGTCATGAACTTGGATTCCTTCAACTCTACATCTTTCACAAGCTCAAATGAGACTCCTTGGCCCATACTTGATGTGGAAACTATTTGTTCTATTCATTTAACTCAAGTTCAAGGTAATATTAACCACAGGATGCCATAAAAGTGGACAACCAAAGCAGTCAAAAACCAATCCAGAACAAGCAAGTGCTTTGAATTGAAGCTCCAATGTGAGAAAGTCATGCAACTACGCAATGAATTCCAAGAACTTAATACAAACTTTTAGCCATTTGGGCTAAGTTTGGGCCGATTTAAGGCTTGGGAATTTCCTGATCTTTGACCATATCCCGAAATGATCGTGGGTTAGATTGGGCATTGTTTTCATCTTTTTGGGTCTGATTCTAGCCGTTTAGGCTTTTTAATGGGTCCTTCAAGGCTTTTTTGGGTTATGTCCTAGAGCTAGTGGTGAAACAACAACAAGCTGTTATTACAACATGAAATTGACATTGAACCTTATGATTTCTCATTTGATCAAAGGACAAGAAGATGAAATAATATAGCACTGGAATTTTGATTTTCAACTACTTGTATAGGTTGCTATCTGGCAAAACTACACAAATTTTTAGATTTGGCTCTTCCAATAACTTCCACTAGGCCAAGATATTGAAGACATTAACTTTCTTTTTTTACCAAATAGAATTAGTATCCAATACACCAATCATCAGTATGCTTGAAATTCAATTGATTTTAATGCTGATCATTGTTGATTGATAAAACAATCAGTAACAGGGAAGAGCCAACCCCAAAATTTCAAGCCAGCCCTCCTCCTGTTATTGACATTACTCATCATGATTCAAAGAGTTCTAATGGAAATTCCAAGCGCATTTATTTCATAAAAGGGCAAGATAGAAGCAGATAACGAAAAGATCACCAACTTTTATTCCAGAGGAGAATTAAAGGTACTTAGATTAACATCTTACAGAAGACAAAAGACCTGGAAATCACATATTAAAAAAACAAGAAAAACAAGCACCTTCCCTTATGGATTATTATGACAATCTCAACTACAAACAAAGACAAATTTCTTTCTTTTAGAATAATCACTGCCCACCACGGAGACGAAGAACAAGGTGAAGGGTGGACTCTTTCTGAATGTTATAATCAGCTAAAGTCCTTCCATCCTCCAATTGTTTGCCAGCAAAGATAAGCCTTTGCTGATCTGGGGGGATTCCTTCCTTGTCCTGAATCTTTGCTTTTACGTTGTCAATTGTATCGGAACTTTCCACTTCCAAGGTGATTGTTTTTCCAGTCAAGGTCTTAACAAAAATCTGCATTCCTCCACGAAGCCTCAAAACAAGGTGAAGGGTCGATTCCTTTTGGATATTGTAATCAGCCAAGGTCCTCCCGTCCTCAAGCTGCTTACCAGCAAAGATCAAACGTTGTTGGTCTGGTGGGATCCCTTCCTTGTCCTGAATCTTTGCCTTAACGTTATCAATTGTGTCCGAACTCTCGACCTCCAGGGTTATAGTCTTCCCTGTCAAGGTTTTGACAAAGATTTGCATGCCTCCACGCAGCCTGAGGACAAGGTGGAGAGTTGATTCCTTTTGGATATTATAATCAGCCAAAGTACGGCCGTCCTCAAGCTGTTTCCCAGCGAAGATGAGCCGCTGCTGGTCGGGAGGGATGCCTTCCTTGTCTTGGATCTTGGCCTTGACGTTATCAATTGTGTCCGAACTCTCGACCTCAAGAGTTATGGTCTTGCCTGTTAAGGTTTTAACGAAGATCTGCATACCCCCACGAAGACGGAGGACCAGATGAAGAGTTGACTCCTTCTGGATGTTATAATCCGCCAAGGTACGACCGTCTTCAAGCTGTTTGCCAGCGAAGATAAGACGCTGCTGGTCAGGTGGGATCCCTTCCTTGTCCTGAATTTTGGCCTTGACGTTGTCGATGGTGTCAGAACTCTCTACCTCGAGAGTTATGGTCTTGCCAGTCAGGGTTTTCACGAAGATCTGCATCTTCTAAAAGACTATTATGAGAAAACTGATGGCGATGATTTGAAAAGGGATTTGATAACAGAGAAAACAGAAGATTTTGATTTTCTTTGTTTCGACGTTCGATATAAATTAAGAGGCTGGCAAAGGAATAGTTATATAGGAGAGGATATGACCGATGAGTTTGATTTCTTTAGTCCAAAGAGAAGTCTGGAGAAAACACGAAAGTTTCAATCAGATGAGTGGGCGTAACCTTAGGCACACGTCACTTGGTTTTTTTAATTGGCCAATGGTTACCCAACGGCTAACTCACGCAACTCCGCAATTCATTCCAGAATTTTCTGCTTTCTTTCCTCGGTCTTTATTCCATTTTTTCGACGAAATTGGCGCATCTCAAAGATAAGACAGCTACATTTTTTAAGTGAAACTGGTTGTTATAAATAATTCAATAAAAGATATTCGATAAAAAATTTAATTTATATAAAAATATTAAAAATTTTGCAAAATTCAAAGATAAAACTTGTCAAATTTTTAATATTTTTTTAAATAACAAAATTTATTTAAAAATTTTTAAATTTTACACGGAATGTATAATTTAAATTTTAAATTTTATTTAATTGATTTTAATATAATACTTCACGAATTATACAAAGAAATACATCTAAATTTTTACTCCAATTCCTTGTGGTTCTGGATTATAAGTAAATAGGCAGCTACCTATTTGCCTTGTGCTAGTACAAGGGTTAGTTCCACTTTTGGATGAGGGGACAAGAAACAACTTGTTTGCCAAGTTCCTATTAACTAGAGAGAAGACCATGAATGTAAGCAAAGGGGACAAGCGAATGAAAGGGGCATTGCATCTTCTGATGATCTTTTCCTTTCTGTTTTGATTTGCTTGCTGATTTAACAAAAACTCAGAAGAAACTTGTTTAAAGATAACGAATGGACTGAAAATCAATCAAACATTGGCAACTTTTGAGGCTCCACGTAATTGAGATGGAAGCCAACAACAAATGGATTTAAAATTAATTTAACATTCCCCTTTTTTAAAAATTTCCTAACAATGTCTGTATTATTTGTTTTAGCAAGTCTCTAAATATATATACAAGAATGATAAATGATAAACCATAATAAAAGTTATTATTTCTCCTTCATATTGCCGGCCAGAGCCGATGCTTTGCAGATCGGACATGCATTCTTCATTGACAGCCACTTCTTGATGCAGGGCACATGGTAATCATGACCACATGTATTTAATGCCCCAACTTCATCCATGTCCTTATACTCTTCCTGTGAATTACGAAGATTTGTGAGAAATTCAACTAGTCCTTGTTTTGAGTTAATATGATAACTTAAATATTAATATAGAACTAGTCCTTGTTTTGAGTTAATATGACGACAACTAGCCCTTGTTATGATAACTAATGATCCCTGAAATATAGAAAAATATTTAATATGATAACTTTAAAATTTTTTAATGCGTTACTTAAATTATGAATCTATTAACTAATGTGGTACTCACCTTTAACGTGATTAGCTCAAAATGATGACAAGTAATGAACAAACAACCTTTTAAGTATCACATTAGTTAACAGATTCATAGTTCAAGCATCATATTAAATAGTTTTAAAATTCAAGTATTACATTGAACATTATAATACAATTCATGGGCCATTCGTAACATTTACCCTACCTTTTTATAAAATCAAAGGTATGTAGATGATACAGCCTGGACAAATGGGATGGGATCATAGAAAAGAGGTAGCAAATATTTAGGTTGTGAGTAGTGGACCATAATAGACATGTGCTAGCCTACTCTTTACAATTCTATGTTGAATCATATCACATAATCCAAGATATTTACATTTCAAACAGAAAAAAGAAATTCTTACCAAGCAGATCACACAAGAGCTCTCATCCTGGACTTGATCCGAAGAGCAGTAGATTGTTTCTGTCAAGCACTTAGATACCAAGTCTTCAGACAAGCCTGTGTTTACATTTCCAATCCTCTCTCCTAGTGCAAGTAGTTCCTGCCCAAGCATAGGTCATTTAGAAAGAAGTAGCAACAAGAACGAAATAACACCATAATAGAGAAGGGAAATATGTACATACCTCATAAGTCATGTTGTCTATGTCTAGCCTCATATCTCTATGCTGATCAAACATATTTCTAGAACCATAAAAGGCTGAGCGGTCCATAGTCATAAAACCCTGCAGAGTGAAAACAAATTATAACATTCACCTAAAATAGCTTGTTAAATCAGGAAAGTTAGTTGACAAGCTGATAAATAGGAGCTGTGCTACCAATAAGAAATTTTCCCGTATCTCATTGGCAAAACACTTATCATCAGCATTTGGCTATATTAGAATTATTAAAACTAATAAACAAAAGTAATCACGGCCCTGTCATTAACAGAAAAGGCCACTATCATTCAACAAAGAAGGGCACTTATGAAGCAATAAAGTCAAAAAAGTGAACCAAGGCGAAACAATACAACACTCTTGGAAGAAATGCAACATGCTGAAAGCTGTGTCGAATGGGTTTTCAATCTATTGCTAGAGGACATGAAAGTCCACCTCAATTGCTAATGCAAGAACATAATTCCTTCAAAGCAGTAAATTACCTCGGATGAAAATCGATCATGGAAAGCTGCATCATCAGCTAGTGATCGGTTAGATATCCTTGACCTACCATTCCGGTCATTATTACGCCATGTTATAGCTGATAATGGCCGAGGATGTCTGGAGGAATAACTTTCAGCAACAACCTGCACATCCTCGTCTGAGGGTGCTACTTGTCCTAACCGCACACTGCTGGAAGAAGCCCTGAAAGTTGGGCCAGATCTCTGAGAATAGTTTGTGCGAACACTCCTTACAGATTGTGCTGAGTTGCCATGAAAACTCTGAGGAAGAACAGGATTTCTACCCGAAACGAAATCACGCTGAAGTCCCCCAATCTCTACAGAAGCATTTGTAGCACTGCTACCACCCGGAAAGTGGTTTGTCTCATTATTAAAAACACTTGAATCTGCAATTCAACAGCAACAGGCTCAGAAATAATGGGAGATTCAAAACGTTGAAACAGAGAAATGTTCAACAAACTAACCTGAAGCTTGAATCCTTTCATAAGTAGGAGACATTCTTAAATGGCCCCACTCCAACTCCCTTGAAAAAGCATTAGAACTCTGACCTGAGAGATCCACTGAGCTAGAATGGTCAACTTGGTGGCTTGTAGAGTAGGAAGTGTGAGAAGGATTGCTTGATAAATGGCTCCTAACTAGGTTGGATTCAAGATCAAGTGCTGGACGGCTTCTCACATTCCTCATAGAACCATCACCCCTAATTGAGAGGCCATTGCCTCTATAACTCGGGGGCATGGCAAAGTGATCCCAATGCATGTGTTGAGGATCTATATTAGGTTTCTCTTGCCAAAAGTCAGAAGATAGAGGAAGATCAGATGAACTTCCAGCACCAACATATCTGCTTGAGCCACCCCTCTCACAGACTGAAGGGATTCCAGGGCTTTTTCGCTTGTGAGGTCCTCTTCCACCACCCATTGTGAGATCAACAAAACCACCCTCAATTCCATGGGAAGTCTGAGTATCATAATTGGAAGAAGATGCATGAGGCATGTAATCCTCGGGAGATGCACCAAATGCACCAGGCGCTGATGAATGCAGAAAAAGATCATGAGATGGGCCTGAAGTGTCAGGTTGATAATGTGGACCTTCAACATTATGGCTTGAGGTAGCATAACCACTTGACATAGGCACAGGATTCTGATGAGAAGAAAAATGTACCGCATCAACAGACATATTTTCTACAGGACAGAAGAAGGAGCCATGTTCTGTAGTGCTTGCCCTCACTGAAACAGAACAAGATGCAGTATTAGCCATTAGAACAATAGCTAGTGTACAAACAAAGGATACAATATAATGAAAAAGGCAGGGAAAACCCAAAACACAGGCCCAGCTTTCTCAGTAGGAGAATAATCAACCTCATCCCCGTTAAAAATAAAATGCAAAAGCGAGGGCATTAAAAGAACAATACCTATATTTGCGTAAGGTTGCTCTGTATGCATATGATTCCAGCCCTGCTCGTGTTCACCCTCAAACATTTGGGATGTGCCAAATAAAAGTCTATGCCCCATAACCAAGTCACTTAAAAGCTAAAGATAAGTTATACTCTGGAAAAAGTGTCAATCTGCAAAAAGAAAAAAGAAATCAAATATGTCGGAGAGAATAAAGGAGTTATTAAAAATATTTAGTCTAACAACAGGAAAAAAATTAAAAAGGAAGCATTCAGCGTCCCGTGTTATTTTTCCAAGCAACATACACTCATTACTGCATTTCATTTCTTATCAAGAACCTCCATAAGGTTCTATAAGCAATCCACAATTTTGACACAAACACAATCATGTTTAGAATCTCATGTATCCATAGCAAAAACAGATAAATGCAACTCCAAGAATTACAACGTTTAATTGTATCAGAAATTAGTTGCCATTGAGCAGAGATATATTGAATATTATGCAACCCTCATTTTCTTCCTCCTAACACGTACTGCTTAATCCTTCTAAAGAGAAGAAGGTCCAGCAGTGCTATCAAAAATCTAAAAAGACATGAGGTGACAAGCACTAGTGAAAAGAGGAAAAGCATAAACATATTGCCTTATGAATCAATCTTTTGAAATCAAATAACAAATGCAACCCCAAGATTTATATCTTTCAGTTGTATCATAAATTAGTTTGCCACTGATCAGAGATATATTGAATATTAAGCTATCCTCATTTTGTGCTCCTAACACAAGCTGCTTAATCCTTCTAAAAGAGAAGACAGTTTTCTATGCTATAAAAAATCTAAAATGATTGATTTGAAAAGCGCTATCATAAAGAGAAGAAGCATACACATATTGCCTTATAAATATCAATCTTTTGAAATCAAACTCTAGAAGTAAGCTCTCTATATACATTGCACAGACACTCCAGCAGACAAAAGGTCACCTACTACACATATACACATCTACACAAATTGATACATGAAAAGGACATCTCAGTTAGAATTTTAACAACTACAAAAACTTTGTGCTTTGGCCCACTAAATCAAAATAGTGCATAAAAGAACAACAAAAACACATGTGAGTTTATTCTTAGGAATAGGAAACAAATGACACTGCAGCAAAAGCATTCAATGTATAGGCAGCTTTTGTAGGCTTTTGCAAATACAGGAAGTTGTCAACCCTAAATACCCAGTTGCATGACTATGGTCTTATAAACTGGCATACTAGCCTCTTGCATTTATCTGCTTATATATTGCCCCTCTCCATATAATTGGAGAGCATCCTTCAGATTCTGGGGCAAGAATCAAAGAAGAAGTAAAAAAATGAAGGCAAGATAGATAACACTAGATTAGTAATTAAATACAGACTTTAAATTGGTTGCCAGTACTAACCCTAAAACCCCACTGCAATAGTACCTCAGATTCAGACTCGTAGAGGAAGCACTAGAAGCAGGATTACTTATCAGGACACACCTGGAATTGATTTATAACTCATAGCAGATACAAGTCATGGAAGTAGTCATGACTTAACCATGGCTACAAAGTTTGTAGAGCCACAGTAACAGCAGAAGAATAAGGCCTTTCACTCCAACCATGAATTTAGTTATCAGACCAAGAAAAAAAAATTTAACTTCCTTCTTTCCTACATTTGCTTCAGTAAAAGAAAATAAAAGTAAGAGGTAACCTCCATAATATTGAACTTCCACTCTGTAAGGGGGGGAACCAAAACCTATCTATGTTAGAAGAATACCAAAGAATTGAGATAGAAACCTGGCCAAAGAAATGAAGATTTCAAATTTTTAAGGAAAAAAAGTTCATAAACATGGAACAATATGTAGCAAAAGCAAGCATCCTCAAAGAAATAGATGAGGAGAAAAAGGAGAGAAACTAAAATTTTGAAATCATTCATCATCATAAGGAACTACAGTCAATGCCGTGTGGATGTATAAATTGTTTCTAAAGCAAGAGGAAAGTTAAGTAATTGACCATATATTCATATATATGAAGCAGAGCATGATTTCCATAATCTGTAATTGTTGGCAAGCACATAGTCTGCCGTGATTGCCATTATTTTTACCCTCAAAACAATCATTGAAAGTGTACCCTTAAACAAATGAAATTAAAAGTATCATCTAAATCCAATAAATTATATTTTTGATAAAATCACAAAAAGAAAAAAAATAAGAAAATAATAAGAAAACATGAATGTGTATGATATGATTATAAACAAGGTGACAATCAGTCAATCACCATAACTAATGTAAAGATAATGTCCACCGAAAGCATATCTGGCTTCAATATGAAAGGTCTAGATTGATTCCTACAGTACCTTTTTTTTCATCTAAAATTTGAAGTAGAGATGAAGTCGATACATAATTGTATCTCTTAGGAACATTATTGTGCCTCACAATGGATTTCTGAAAACTTTCAAGGTCAGAGGATGAGGTGAGTACTAAAAAAAATACATATATTATGTACATTACTTAAAATTGCCAGCCTCACTTTGCCATAAGTTTAGTTACTTACAAGAAATCTGCCATCAATTTAAGGGCATGTTTCATAATTGTTGAATGGTTCACCCATGAAGCTTTAGTAATAGAAATCAAGAGGAAATTATTACCCTAGAAACACAGAAGCTTCGAGACTGTGTGAATAAACAGTCCTCAGTAAGAGCAGGTTGTTAGAAAGCCTAATAAACAATCAGGAAAATCTTACAAAACCCAACTCCAGTGATTTCCCTTTGATTATGAGCAGAAAGACCATATCAGCCGCAAAATTGGCTTAACTAAAAGTTAACAAGCATTCAGCTTTCCTGTCCAGCGTTTTTACTGTCTTGCATTCTTGAAATTAACAATCATAAGTGTTGACTTAACTATTTACATTCAAATACAAGTTGAACCTCCACCTCAATTAAATATGTGAACCTGAAGCCATCAGGCTTTTATATAATCACTGGAACCCCTAAATTCTTAAGATAACCATTTCTCCTCACAGGTATCTAGTCCCCGCAATCAATTCCTAAATTTTTTCAAACCACTTGGGTTTAACTATATCCACCGTACGCAACAAAAGACAATCTCAACTACTTGGCTACAGTCATCATCTAAGCATCCAGTTTTTCACCATAAGAGGCCAGATTACATCAATTAGCACCACCAAACAAGTTTCCAGAAATAGCACGTTTCAATGGTTGTCCAGCAGACAATATTGAGCTCAATGTTCAGCAAAGCCATCATGATGCCCTACGCTGTAAATCAACCTTTCAGCAGAAACCGCAGATTGGATGATTATCAGAAACTGTAAGGCCTTGCAGATGCCCCTAGGGTTCTTAGGGATTCTTAGGTCATTACATCTTCTTAGAACTGCACAACACAAGATACAAAAGAAGATACTATTCTCAATTCCTCAATATCACTCCCTAAACCTCCTGTGAGACTCTACACCAAGCATCTAGCATGCTAACATAGAATGTCAAATATGATGGATTTAAGATCATGGCATGTCTATAATCATTAGTTTTATTTTTCTTTTGATCATTTTCAAAGCAGTCACCAGTCTATGGAGCAGAAGGACCCCGATGGCAAAGTGAATTCCAATTGAACAAGGTCTAAGAGTTCTCCAAAAAGAATAGTAGCTCTAGTACCATTAAATTCTCTTTTCTTGTATGAAGGCCGACTTATAACACTCCAAAATGAGTGCACATGATCCTAATAAGAAGACAGAAGAATCTTTCCTTCAGTTGTCCATTCGACCGAAGCTTTCCTGCAACACCATTTGCAATTCAGAAAACAGAACCAGGAAAGAACACAACTAAGATATTTACAAACTCCAGTATCCATGTATAAGTCATTCAAAGAGTTGCTTAACAAACATCAAAAACTATTTGCAGCTAAGCACACACATTGATAAAAGCCTGGGGAATTAAGATAGGAAATATAACGAAAGGAGACGGTGTTGCAAGATATTATGAGGAAGAAAATTATGGAAAGTGAAGGGAATGAAAGACCACTTGCTGGACAGATATTGCGAAACTTCGCCCAAAAGCTAACAACTATAAGAAGTATCAACATATAACCTCTAATCAACTACTTTGAAAACAAATTGCGTGGAGAAAGAGGAGAATAGCAAAGCCTCATACCTTCAGATGTAGACAGGCTATTCCAAAACTGGCATACTATTTAGAGTTTATGTGCAAGGGCACACTCAAGATGTAAGGCAAGAACGAAACACCAAGTCCCTAACCTGCATAATGAAAAACAGCTAAACCTAGTTGAAGCTAAGGCAAGCAAGAGAAAACAAGGTCCAATCCTACACAGTTATTGAACAAGCTAGAAGCTACAACAAGTAATTCAACTCTGAACAGGAATCTGAACCACAACAAAGACTGAAAGTTGACTTCTCATGTAACAGGAGCTCAAGTGAGGAAGCAACTTATGATAATCATTTTCTATTTCTTTCCAAAAATTAAATCTTCAAACCAACACTGACAACATCAGTGTGCTGGACAAAAAAAAATGGAATGCTTAGCTTACCACATTAGCGTGCAAAGGAACAGGTGAGATTTGAGCGCAAACACAGGATAAAAATCAGGACAGCAATTAGTAAAGCACAATATAGGATATAATATGCCACAAAGCCCAATTCTTTTCCCTTGATTTTTTGAAATTAACCCTATGCAGGAAATCAGAAAAAAAAAAAAAAAAAACCCAATGATATTCCGGATAACAATTTCACATGTCAACACACTCCCATTGAAAAATGAGTATGAAGTATGAACTCTTGCATCAGTTTTAAAAACCTCATGATTCTCTGTAGAAAAGGCCGAAAAAAACGACAACAAAACATTGAATTAGTTTCTATAAACGTAGTTTAAATATAATAAAACCAACAAAATTTCTTTCTTTAAGCTACAGCAACCACGTCAAAATTAAACAACTGATCACCTTTTAAGTCAAGTCCCATAATCGGATGATCAATAACAAAATATCTCAGGCTGATGAAGATGATCATGGCCATGATCACAACTCGGAAACCAATTTTAACGGCAATTTTTTTTTAATATCTCTAATAAATACAGAATTTTAACAGAGAATCTAAGCATGAAAAGCAATAAAACAAGCAGAAACCATTACAGATTATTATTTAAAATTAAGATCAAACATTAAATTAACCAAACTAATCAAATATACAGTAATCGGACCTCAGATAAACAATATTTTTATGATAAAAATCGGTTCAAAAAAAATAATTAAACAAAATAAAAGGAAAAAAAAAGGAGAAGGAAATCGTACCTCGTTTTTTTTGGATAAAAATCTGAGAGAATTTAATTAGAATGATAATTATTTAAAAAATAGAAAAAAAAAGTGGTGAAGGTTGTGTTTGGGAGAAGAAGAAGACAATGAAATAAGGCGGTTGGGTGCGTTTTGCCTGGCTTTGTGTAGAAATAAGAGAAAGGGAAAATTACCACCAAAAAATTAAAAAAAAAAAAAAAGAAAAGAAAACAGAGGAGAGGAGAGGAATGGGAATGTGAAAAAACTTTAATATAAAATATAAAAAGGAAAAAAGATTATTTATATTACTTATTAAATTAATAAAAAATAATTAAAAATAATAATCCTTGTTTGGCGTGCTAATCACGCACCTCAAGGTGGCTCAATGCGTGATTCTTTTGTGCCTCGCTTGGGTGGAATCTTAATTTTTATTTTTTAATTTATAAAAAAACGCATATTTTTATCATTAAATTAAATAATAAAATAACTTAATTCATGATTTTTGACATGTAAAATATGTGAAATCATGGAGACTGTGAATTGGACAAAGTGAATGGCACATGTATTCGAAATTAGCATCATTGGTTTGATGGTTGCACTTATAACTTAAAAAATAATAATAATAAATAATAAATGATATTTTTTCTCACTATTTTTTTTTTTATAAAATTTATAAAAATAACCTTTCCTTATCTAACATCAAATTTTATCTCTTGAGTGAATAGAGACATACGATAAGACATGAGAATATTGGGAACAATGCAATGGATTAAGACTATTTCTTTCAGGCCACCCTTTCACCTTAAAGAGGTTTCGTGGCTGCTAACCAATGATAGATACATAACGTTAAAAATATAACTTGTTAACATAAACTCTTATTGATTTATGACAATCTATTTAAATTTTCAAACATTTATTTTTATTTAATTGCGCTATTAACGGGATAAAAATACATCACATAAACAATGTAAGTATAATCTTTAATTTTAAATTCAATTTTTTTTAAATACCTGATCTATTTGATTTAAAATTTTTTAATTATTCAAATATTACACATAAAAAAATTATTTAATTAAATAGACAAATTAATTAATGAATGAATTAACATGTAAATAAATTAAATTCACATAAAATTAGACTGAATCAAAATGTAATAAAACTTAAATTAAAAATTTTATAATTTCAAAACCTTTTTCTTGTTACTAAATTAACATTTACGTACGATTTAAGAAATTAAAATACTTATCTACTTTAGTTTTATTGATCAAATTAAAATTAAAGTGAAGTTGATAAAACAATTAAAAATTATTATTATCTTTATAATGGTACCACCATTTATTTCAACTTCATACATAGCTTTAATGAATGAATAATGGAATTTGTCAATTGGTGATGTGTAGGCCTAACCGATCATTGGAAAAACCCAACCACCAAGTATGTACGCGAAGCCAAAGTGCGTACCATTACTAACCACTTGCTCCACACCGTATGTAGTCAATAACCCTCATCTGAGTACCTTGTTTACTAATGAAAATTTGGTTTTCATTGACTAAAAATTTATAAATAAATGACTTCACATGCTTTTCTTTAACATGAAAGATTTATTAATAATAATAATAATAATAATAAAAGAACAAAGGGTGTTTTAATTATTTAGATTTTGAGTGGATGGCTTAAGATTTAAGCATTGTTAATTCATTAATTTGGGTGGTCCATTTTGCCTAATGGAATTTAATTTTTACCTTCACTTTTTTACTTTGTTTTTTGTTTGAATATGGATGTCACATTAATTAATTTTTGATGAAGTGAAAAATAATATGCTAAAACCAAACAAAAATTAATTGCATTAATTCAAAAAAGGGCAATTTTAAGCTCAAATAATTGGAGAGTATAGAAATGTAATTAATTTTGAGAACAAAAATCCTCTGTCTAGGTTTGGCGCCCGCATTCTGCTCCATCATTGATATCGGTCCACGTGTCGACTAAAAAGTTGTTAGAGTTTGATACCATTCAGGCGGGGTTTTATTTTCCAGCCAAACGGCAGTTTTTAAGTACTTTTTCTGCTATTAACTTGTAAAACAAGAAACAAATTAAAAACCCCTAATTAAATCCTCATTTAAAAATATATTTATTAAAATATTTATTTTAACCTTAGACTTACAGGCTATAGTTTATTTTTTAAACCGTTTGTTCTTTGAATGTGGAGTTGTTCCGTCACCAACATTAACGGGGGAAACAAACCGAAGCAAAGAAAATCAAACTCCTTTTCTTTTTTTTTTTCTCTCATAATTTTCTCTTAATCCAAACAGCTAAATTAACTGATCTGTAAACTCAAGACAGATTAGTTAAAAAAATGAGTGTGATCGATATATTGACAAGAGTAGATGTGATCTGCAAGAAGTACGACAAATACGACGTCGAAAAGCAGCGAGACCAAAATGTCTCCGGGGACGATGCCTTCGCTCGTTTATACGCCGTCGTCGAAGCCGACATTGAATCCGCTCTTCAGGTAACCCCGATCTAATCTAATGGTTTAAACTTATTTTTGTTGACATTTGTTAGGTTTAAGCTTGCTTTATGATTATGTTAGTTGAGACTTGGAGTGCAGTCTTTTCTATACTTAATCGAGAGTTGTTCAGTTAGAATTAGGGTTTTATGGCTTCAATTTGGATTATGTTTAATTTGTTTTTATTTAGAAAGCGGAGCTTGCTTCCAAGGAGAAAAGTAAAGCATCTGCTGTTGCAGTGAATGCTGAGATTCGTAGAACCAAGGCTCGATTGCTTGAGGAAGTCCCTAAGTTGCAGAGATTGGCTGTTAAGAAGGTTAAAATTTTCTTCTATTTACAATTTCCGAAATTATATTTAACAATTTATTCTAAATGTGAACTCGTTTAATTATTGATAGATTGGTAATGTTTTTATATAAAACAATCAGAGGCGATTTTTTATAATGTATTTCGTTTTACATGTTTAGAGGTATTTGGAATTTGCTGTTGTGGACTTGAGAATTGACTAGTTTGGACTTTTCAGTGTGATAGATTTCGGAATTCGTTTACAGGTTAAAGGGATTTCAACTGAAGAGATGGCTGCTCGTAATGAACTGGTCCTTGCATTGCCGGACAAGATTCAAGCTATACCTGATGGAACTGCTGCTCCTAAACAAGCTGGAGGCTGGATGTCTTCAACACCTTCAGCTGCTGAAATTAAGTTTGATTCAGGTGATTCTTAAATTCATTGAAATTGCTTGTTAATTTTATTTAGATTGTATGTAGGTAGGCTTCATGTTTAGCTATATGCTGACCTGTTCCAAACTGTCAATCTTTCGATTTAAATCTATCTTTGTACCATTTTTAGTAAACTTGAACACCCGCATCTGCTGATATCTTTTTCTCCTCTTCCTTATTGTAGTTGGGGAGGATAGGTGGGGTTGAATGGTTTGTTTTATTTGGTGGTGGCTTCCATAATGATGTGAGCCTGTGAGGAATGTTGTTTTGTCTTTCAATAGCTGCTGCTAACATAAAATGAAAAGTTGGGAGAAAAAAAATGGATCAAGAACAATGATTTGATTCAAAGATAAAGGAGAAGAATTTGGGAGATAAAGATTGAGAAATAGAAATAATAGTGGGAACTAGGAACCTTGTTAGAGAGAGCATTTCAATGCTATCTCAAATATATTTAAATTATTGTACTTGAATTTTTATTGCTCGAGAATAATAAAGTAAGGAGGGTGCTTACTTATGCTTATAAGTGCAATACCATCTGACTATTTGCACTTTGCGGTGGGAAAGTTTTCAATCTTTTGGTTTATAATGCATAGCTTATCAGTGACTCTTTCTTATGATCTGTGAAATTTTTATGTCTGGAAGATCTTATGCTTTGTTGCACTTACATATTCGTATTGGTAATAGATGGAAGATTTGATAATGAATACTTTCAAGAATCTGAGCAGTCAAGTCAATTCAGGCAGGAGTATGAAATGCGAAGAATGAAGCAGGCAAGTCAAACATGTCCAGATGCTAGTGTTTATGATCCTTTTTTCTTATTGGAAGGAAGCTTACTTGCCTTCTTATTTCATACACCACTTTTATTTGTCTATGATTCACTTTTTGTTTCGTTTGACATCCTTCTAGGACCAAGGTTTGGATATGATTTCAGAAGGTTTGGATACTTTAAAGAACATGGCTCATGATATAAATGAGGTGAAGTTGTCTTGATGTCATATGTAACCATTTGTAATGATTTATTTTTGTCGTAACATTCATGTGGGCTACTTGATTGTATCCTGTTGTTTGTGCAGGAATTGGATAGGCAAGTTCCCTTGATGGATGAAATTGACACGAAGGTGAACACCATGATCATCATGTTGTATCTTAATAAATGCTTAAAGATTACCAATTTACATTATATATTCTGTTCCTTACACATTTGCAGGTTGACAAGGCTGCTGCTGACCTTAAGAATACCAATGTTAGACTCAAAGCTACTGTCACCCAGGTGATTCATTATAACTTCATCACGTGTAGATTCCCATCCGTTTTCAGCTTTCTTTGCTTCTATGCTGGATCTGACATAAGTTTTGGTTCTGTTCCAGTTGAGGTCCAGCCGAAATTTCTGTATTGATATCGTCTTGTTGTGCATAGTTCTGGGAATTGCTGCCTATTTATACAAGTAAGCGTCAAACTCATGAATTTATAAAGAACAAAAAAAAGAGAAAATCATTATGGAAAGCTTCCATCTAATGCTAAAGTGATTCATAAACTGTGTTCTATATTATATATGGACATGCAGTTTAATTTTAATTGACCTCATACTGTGCTTCAGTTATGTTCGGTGATGCATTTTGGATTTTTTAGTAATGATATAGGTGGAAATTCTGCTAATGGATTAACTGATTTATTCTCTTATTTCTTTTGTTGTTATAATTGAGAAGTCATCCTTGGGTGTTCTTCACTTGCAGTGTTCTGAAGAAGTGAAGCGATAAAAGGATGAGTTGATGTGTTTCCCTTGTAGGCTCTCAGCTTTTCCTGCATTGTCTTTCAACTGGAGGACGTGCTCTCGTGCTTGATCCTGTATGTGATTTGTTTCTTTTGTGGAAGTCATTGTTCACACTGGTAAAATGTGAGTTTGTCTTTCTATACAAATTGAGGACAAACGAAAATGTTTGTATATCAAGTTACTAGAGATTTGATCACATTAGGTTAAGGTTATACTTCTGCTTTCATTGCCCTTCTTCACAGTACATTTGTCAAATATCTTTCATTACAGTTTTGCCACATATGCAGACAATTTAAGGATGTGATATTCAAATCTCACACTGGTTAAAGATACAAGTTGTGATTTGCAGACAGATCAAAGACGACTGCTTTGAACCCTCTGTAGTCTGTCCCTTGGAAACTAATTTCAGTACGGATATAGAGTTAAAGTTAAAAAATGAAAGCGAGTATTTTCCATAGCAGCACCGTATAGCTGAATGGGAACTAAACATTGTTGCTAACCACCGTTAAATTTTCAAGTGATTTAGTCTTAGATATGGTTCATAGGGATGTAATATTAGTACATACATTTCTCATTTAGGTAGAGCTTGTCGTAATTTTTGGATTTGAAGAATCGCAGCAATGGATAGAGAGAGCATTTGGTTTTATCATATCTGCTAGTGTATGTAGCCCTTGTTGGAATAATCTTGCTACAGGCTGTTTTCTTATTATCGATCGGCCTTGTAAGCATTACCAGTTCTGAACTGAAGGCATGATTTATGGTCCACTCCTAGTGCCTGGCCTGCTGGGTTTTATTTAGGAGCCCATAAGCATGCTTTGTTTGTATCTTCCTTTTGGGCTTGACAACAAATAAAGAAGATCTAATTTCAAAATACTTCAGTCATATACTCGGTTAAGATTATGTGTAATTGGATAGATTGGATTTTATGGTTTAGACTTTAGAGTTTAAGGGGTAAGAGTAGACTTGGATGAAGCTTTTTTAAGTAAAATTTCTGAAGTTTTTATTAAAAATAATTTAATGAAAAATTTAAATTAATAGATTAATAGGTTTAATGAGAAGAGCAATAATATGTAAAAAAATTATTAAAAATGTTATTTATAATTTAAATTTGATTAGTACTTAATTTAATGGTAAAAATTTTGTTAAAATTTTTAGTAAAAAATATATAAATATAAAAAATACATAAAAATTTATTTTTTTAATTTTACATAATTTATGTAATAAAAATTTTTAATCTACTGATTTGAATTTTTCATTTAAATTTTTATATAATCGTGTTTAATAAAAAAAAAAATCACAAATTTTACCTAAAAATTTTTTTCTAAGTTTTTCCGGATTTTAAGTGACATTGCTTTATAATAGATGAAAAAGGGGGAAAAGATACTAAGAACTGGTAGAATTGAAATTAGTATTTAAAAGAAAGAGAAAGTTACAAATTTTCTATTGAAATGAAAGGAATTAATTTCTGAATAACAATTGAACGTATTCTTCCCAACATACCTCTCTGTTTCAGGAAATAGACTTTTGTATAAGAATACCACTGAAACGAGTTGGCCGAAAACAAGATTTCATGGCTCTGTTTAAGGCATCATCTGCAGCATTAGGTTGAACGACATTTCCTGAACGATATATATAGTGCTTTTTAAGAACTGAACATTATTATTTTGCTAACACTTTGTAAATTACAGCGACAATGCTTTTAACCAAGAGATCAAGGCTTTCTAAATTTACATCTTCAGAACACATGAATAGAGCTTTAAATCTGGGCTCTGGTGTAGCCCGTAAGGCTTTTATTGATTTACAAAATGTACTTATTGTACTACATACATTTATACAACGTAAAAATTTCAAAAATAAATATCCATGAAGGCTTCAAGCCTCGCAATCACCCTACTAATCTGATGAAGTAAATCACCAAATCTGTCTATCCGTGCCATAATTAGAAACTTTTTGTATATCTGCACACCTCAACACACTGAACAAATCACCAAATCTGTATTTTAGGTACGTAGTTTTTCCCATCCTGTGAATCTAGTCAGTTTCCGTGAATTCCAGGTGATCAAGCTCTTGAGACTGCATGATGGAATTCCATTGATCTGGACTAAAATTGTTGCCTTTGGAGTGGTCTGTTCCATAAAAGTTCATGTCACTGAAATCATCGCTTACTGATATTACTTCCGTTTTCTCTTTATCCTCCCTGATGAGCTTCTTGCTTGGTGGAATAAAACTTGTGGCCTGGTTACTGGCTTCCAAGGACTTTCTTTTCACAGGGTTAAACAGGCTTTCAAGAGATGAAAATGAAATCTGCAGATCCTTATCAGAATTGGCCTCCTGGACAGAAGTGCAAGATTTGTCACGGCTTTGAAAGCTAATGCTCGAAGTTGTGTCAAAGAAGGGAAGGTCTTGAGATGCAAAAATGTAAGGTAACATGGGGCAGTCATTGCATAGATAGCTTTTGGCCATCTCAATATTGTAGTTCGCGTTTGAAGGCCATGGCTTATTCAGTTTTGGGGGATAGCTATCCGGTTCATGACTGTTAATGTTTCTATCTTCCCAACTGTTCCTTTGTATGCTGCTTTTTTGCCTCACTCGACAAAGCACCCAATCGTCTAACTGTGACATAAAATAAAAAAAATGATTAAATTTCCATCAACCTAAAGTTTTACAACCAATTTGTATCATCAGATTACAATCATTACGCATCAACTTAAACTTCTTACCCTCATAGACCCTCTTCGCTTGGGAGTCCAGATCGTGGTTTCTAGCAGTCTATACTCGTGCATGATCCACTCTGTCTTGATTCCTTTAGGAGGACGTCCTTTGTAGAATGCTAGAGCTTTCTTCACTCCAATACTCTTGGTTCCACAGGAAGTTAGGATTGGTTTATCTGTCCCTGTCGCCTTCCAATACCCTGAAGCAGCCGCTCTATTAGGCCTCGCTCCATTAGGATACTTCCTGTCTCTTGGAGAGAAAAAGAACCATTCATCTTCTCCAAACCAAGCTTTACCTATATGACAAATAAACAAGCCGGCCAGATAGAGTTAAACTAGCAAGTTTACAGAAACTTTTAATCAGCCAGGAAAAAAAATATAGATGAAGAACATTGAAAGTGCAATATTATACAGACTTGGAAGCTCCCATGGATTATATTTATATAAATCTATCTCAGCTATAATTGAAGCTGGAAGAGGACTCGAAGTCACTTTGTTCTTCAAGTAATGAACTATGAGCTCCTCATCAGAAGGGTGGAATCTAAAACCATGAGGAAGCTGAACCTTTGATGAGCTAGTTTTCTCCATGGAAGAAGCTGCCAACATTGTTCTTGGAGATGATCAATTAAAGAAATAATCCTAGGGATTAATGACTCTTGCCGATGTTATCGATCCAAAATTGCTGTAAATATAAGAACAGTACAGTGCAAAGATTACATAGGGTGGTAGTTTCTATATCTTCATGCAGACGTCGACATTGTTAACGCTATTAAAATTGGCTCATACTTGATGAAAGAGATTCGAAAGCTACCAAGTTGTCCATATTGTGACCCTTTTTCGGAACATAAATTCTTCAATGGACCTGTTTTGTCACCCTCCGTATTATTTTAGGAATTATTAGTTGGAGAGATTGTATGCCGAAACGGTTCAAGTGCTTCACGTTATCATTTCCATAACTAGGCCAGATCTACATTTGATTTCAGCGTCTAGGTGGGCAGATGGGTTTGGAACCAAAGGCCCCAATGTATTGCAGCCCCTTCCTTTTTTTTTTTAATTTTTTATTTACCGCAAAAATTTCTTAAGTTTTGTTCGTTACATCTTTTTTTTCATATTGATTTAAGCAGGTTTATTTACATTAAACTTAATGAATTTATGAAAAATTATTTTCTCACAACTTTCTATTTTAAATGGCACATTTTGTAAGCCATTTTTTGTTGCAACATCAAAATTAAATCATATATATGGTGAATTATATGAACCATTAGTCCAAACACTTGCAATTCTCCTTATCTTGTTCTTTTAGATTTCACCTTTTTGGTGCAAAAAAATTATGTGAACCATTTAATCTTATATGATAAAAGGAGGTGCATTTTTTGTTTAATACCCTTCAGAAACAATTTGGATTCAAGTGATATATATCTTTATCTTGTAGAGTGATACAAGTATATATCCAATGTTTATTCCAAAAGACTTCTTTGGCATTGTTTAATTCAATTTTGGTCATGTCCCTGAATTTTATACGGGGTTGATATCTACCTTCCATCCCCAATTAGAGGCAGCTAGACTGCATGGCATAGTCATCTAAAACATAAAATCGAACAGCTTAAGATTCTGACATGATGAGCATAACGAATTTGAGACATGTTTTGGTATGATCTTGTGACAGTTGGTCCAAACGACCTGTTGTCATAGCTTTTTGGGATCTAACCTTTTAATTTTAATTCTAGGTTGCAGGAAACAAGCATTTGCCAATCAATTGGAGATGATTGGAGGCTACAAGAGAAAAAAAAAAAGGTAATGCAATATGTTATTTTCAGCATTCATAATTACTGAAGCAGACCCTTCCTACTCCCTCAAAAGGTCATAAAGAAGGTAATACAATTATGCTCAAGTTATTTTTGGAAGGGACAGACTAATGCGGCAAAAGGAGCTGGAGTTAAATGGCAGACTATATGTACTTCAAAATCAGAGAGAGGATTGGGGTTAAAAGATCTGCAAACGTGGAACCAAGCTTGCATGTTAAAGCACCTGTGGGCCATATTCTTGAAGGCTGGATCAGTGTGGATTGCATGGGTGCACAACTATGTGCTGAAAGGACGAAGCTTATGGGAGATATCAGTAAATCAAAGTAGTAGTTGGAGTATGAAAAAGCTATTGCGGATAAGGAATCTTGCTTTAATGTTCTTGGTGCAAACGGAGGAGGGGGTAAGTATGGAATACTAGGGGAGCAGACTTCTCTATTGCAGCAGTTTGGGATGAACTTCAGCCTAAGCAGGCAAAGGTGGTGTGGCATAGGCTCTGCTGGTGCAAATTATACATTCCCAAACGCGCTATCATTGCTTGGTTGGCTATCCTTAATAGATTTCCTACTAAGGATAGACTGCGCTTATAGGGAATGAATGTTGATGGAAACTGTGTTGCGTGAACAGAAGGCAGAGAGCAGAGATCATATCTTCTTTAGTTGTAACAACTCAAAAGGTGTTTGGCAGCAAGTTCTGAGGCTATGCAACCTGCAAAGGGAGGTTGATGGTTGGAAAGAGGAACTTCAATGGGCAATCAGACGGTTAAAAGCGAAGGCTTTGCTTTCAATCCTAATAAGGCTAGCCTGGAGTGCATACGTTTATCAGATATGGAGGGAAATGAACGAGGGGCAGTTTAAAAATGAATAGTACACAAAAGAGCAGGTCTTGAGACAAATTATGGAAATGGTCAGATTTAGATTGGCAGGATTAAGAAACATTAGCTTTGATCAAGTCAATACGGAGATATACGAGAGATGGGGGCTAAGTAGAGACATATTTGTAGAGTAATTCTTGTTTTAGCCGTATAATTGACTGTTTGTATATGTTCACTTGTAACAGTAAATTCACTGTTTCTAGGATAATAAAATATAAATTAATCAAAAAATAAAGGCACAATCTTTTGGCGGAAGGAATCCAAAATTAAATTGGACATTCTATATGACAAGAGAGAGCATTTGGCAAGTAGGCTGGCAAAAAGATTTTCCAATACTGCTACTTTCAAGTAGGAGATTTATACATATGAAGAACAAACAAAAGTAGGTTTTGATGGTATATAACAAATTTATGATGATGAGATCTTGCTTGTTTAAAGGGAAATTTGTTGAAAGAGAAAGAAAAAAGGAGTGTCGGTTAAGACAGGCCCATGTTTGATCAAGAACGATTGTCGCCTTTAATTATTTTTAGCAAAACCTACTTGGCAAATGACAATTATCCACACTATTTTCTGTTGCTTGCACTCCATGTTGTTTTATGGATGTCCTTTTTTTTTTCTCCCATAATAACCAATTGCTAGCCAGCATTAACATGCATATATTTTTTTATGCTCATCTGTTTTGGCTCATCTTTCAGCTATATCCCCCAATTATTGGCTTTTTTCCAGCAGATAATCAGTAGTTAAAATGATTAATCATTCGTAAAGATCGCGTTTTAAGATTTATAATTAAAGTTATTGGCTAACTTAATTGATACAAAGTTCTTAATGGTGACTAATCAAGCGAGAAAAGACCTACCCCTTTGGACATCTCAGCAAACATAATTTAAGAGTCTCGAATTTAAATCGAAATAAAATAATTTGAGATGAAAAAAATTTATTATAATTAAAATTATAAAATAAAAAAAAATTCGATCGAAATTTAACTTAATTAATTTATATAATTATGTTTAAGATGTAACATTTAACATATTTAAAATTTAAAATTTAAGGTATGTTATCATTAACTGGCTGACAAGTAAAAAGAAAACAAAATAAAATATATATATATGGGATTTATAATCTAGATATGGTGTCATTGTTTATTTTAGACTTTCCTTTGCTTTCTTATGCGTGCAAAACTCCAAGAAACAGAACATAAGAAAAAGTGGGATATTGAGGGGGGACATAATAAGGCCAACTTGATACCAGGGGATTCGATTGCATGTATTTTTCCGCCTGGAACCTCCCTCCCCCATTTCTTTCCTTTTTTTTTTTTTTTTTCATTTTTGTCCACCCTAAAATGTCTCTTTCAGCATCACTCCAGCTCCATGCCCATCCCTTTTCCATTCAAAGTCTTATTGCACGGATGTTGATTCTTTTTTTTTAATATTAAAAATTAAAACAAATGAAAAAATCTTTCAAAAAATATAAAAATATGGACAACCTAACTTTGAGTTTGCATGGCAACTGACTGTATAAATATATGTAGTTTACATCGTTTATGGACAACATAAATGTTGAATCCTAGGAGTGATTCCTTATTTCTCGAAATAAAAATCTGTTGATTCGTGTATTTATATCATGTAAAATATTAAATTTTATATATTTATAACGTGTTTTATACGAAAATTACGTGTCACAACTCATGTCTGCAAGAAAATATAAAATACAATATTTTTTATTTTATTAAATTTATATATAATTATTACTATAATTTTAAACATTTTTGTCATATTTTAAATTTTTAAATATACTTAAAAAGATAAATAAGTCACAACTCTAGTTATAATTTTTTTTTATATTTTTTATTATTTTGAAATCTATTTTTCTTTTATAAATTGATAAAAATCATTTTTCATGTAGTAATTGGATTAATTTTTGTGTTATAATTACGTAATTATTTTTTATTCAAATAATAATCGATTTAATTAGAAATTTTTTTGGGATGCACCGACAGCTATCAACAATTACAAACAAACAACATGAATTAAAGGCATGATTGAGCTGATGATAATAATAATAAGAGTAACAGGAAAGATCAAACAATAGTAGAAATATTCTGTCCATTTTGACTTTTGGCTTCTGGAAATTGGGAGAGCGACAATCACGTGAGTCATAAAAAAGGGGCCTAATGGTCGGACCAATGTCACATACTTGGATTAATTTTGCCTCACCGTTGGACTTGAAGGTCTCAGTGTATGGAGGAAAAAAAAGGGAAGAAATAAAAATAACATTATTTCCTCCTTATATTTGATAAAAACCAAAAAGAACAACAACAAAGAAAAAAAATAATAGTTTCTTCATTTTTATCTTCCTTCTTATAAATTAATAGAAATACGGATTTGGAAGAAATAATTATACATGGAAATATGTTTGAGTCTTGAGGACATAAAATTAATTAAGTTCGTAAAAAAATAGAAGAAAGTTTTGATATTTGTGAATTTATCGAATAGATAAAAAAAAATTTCTCTAAACCTGTTTAGATTTATTAAGAATCGGTTTCAATTCGGATCAAGTTCTGAACATGAATTTTGGAATTTGATTCAATTCAAAATTTTATTTTATTTATTTTTAATCTTCAAATATTTTTTAAAAATAAAATTTTGTTATTTTAATATAATTTTTAAAAAATTTGAACCTCTAAAACCAATGAATCATGTCTTGATAGGCCTTTCAAAAGATCAATTGAACCCGAACTCGATTTAGCTTGATCCATCAACACATTTACCTTTATTCCTTTCTATGTTTTACTTTAAGCCAATAAAATCGGAATACATAATTATTTCTTCAAAATTACAGCATGATGTATCATGATCACATGCAATTGATATAAACATTCAAGATTAATAATAATGAAAAGCCAACAATAAGACCTTAAACCTAACGAAGAC